TGGGGAGATAGGCAAGGAGGAGGTTGATGGACCCTACTCTTTGGAAAAAGACGGTAAGGTTTTATCCCCTGCTTCGAAATCAGCCAGATAAGACTGAGGATCTTCTGCCGGGCCAGCTGATCTGCCCCGGGCGGTCTGGTTCTCTGAAACTGGTGGCTGCAAGGTCTGGAAAGAAATGGGTAAAGCAGACCTTCTTGCTCTAAATTTCTGGGGCACTTTCGGCAGAGGGTCTTTCTCACTTCGAAGTACTCCTTTATAAAGCTTATTTTCTCTGAGGGGAACACTGCTTTCTCCGGAGAACTGTTAATTCCCCCAAGGACTAAACCATTGAAGTCTGCATGGGAACACCCACTCATTTGCAAATTGGCAAACAGACTCTCCCACAAAGCAGAAGAAGGCTTGATTGATTCAGAGCTTAGAGGAAACAATGAAGCCCATTTAACAAAGCCAACATTTAATGAACTCAAAACAATGCGCTTCAAAAAATAAGTTCATAGAGCAGCCTTTTAAACTTTAATGCACACTTGTTAGCTTTATTCCGAAAGTACCATCTGTTCACTCAGTAAGAGTTGACTGGTTTGTTTGTCCCGACTCACCACCGATATGATTTCTGAGCAGAAGAAAATCTTGATCAGAATTTTGCAAATGACAAAATTTTTTTAGTGTCTGGGCCAGATTTCACAAATTATACAAGCCCTTCCAATAGAACAGGTCGCTTCTATTGCCTGGCAATTCGCAAAAGAAAGATACAGGAGAGACAAGCTCACCTTTCAGATGAGTCTGCCGTAAAACCCTTTTTATGGGACTCTTTCAAGATTCTGTGAAAACCTTCCCATCAGTTTGACTTGTGAGTCTTATGGCGAGATAGCAGTGGGGCTCCAGGGGAGATGCTGCTTTTGGAGCTCTTTCAGTGGCACCCCTCAGCTTCAGCCTCATCGCAGGAACGGGGAAGAGTGTCGGAAAGCAGAGAGGAGACGGGGTCAGGCAGCGAAATGGTGGGTAATTACCAGGAAAAAAATAGGAGCCTCCTGCCTTTTATCAGAGCAAGTATCAAATACTGTTTGGCCAAAGTACATTTTGTCCCATTCTGTTTCTTATGCAAATGCAACATCTAGAAACCAGCCTGCCACAAGAGTTGACTCTGCTTCCCGACTTCATTCAACTTGCCCTTGAAAGGGGTATCATGTACCTGATTGTTAGCTGGGTCCCCCCCTCCAAGAAATTGTAGGCGAGATTTTATCATGATCAGGCTTCTCTAGAAATCAAAAACACCTGTTCTTTGTTAAGGTGGGCTTCTAAAGGGAGAAATATTCCCATTAGAAAACACCCAGAGTTCATATGGGAACACTACTGATGTGTCCAGCCCAACAGTACTACCTCAACCGAATAAACTTTATGCACCTGTATTACGCACTTCTGTGTGCCGGGCACTGTGGTAAGTAATTTGCATATATTATTTCATTGGATTCTCGCAACAGCATCGGAGATGGAAAGCCTATTTTATACATATGCAAACTAAAGGCTTAGAAAGGTCAAGTTACTTGCTGAAGATCACACAGTTGGGAATGTGACAGAGCCATGACTTCTTACCTCCAGAACCCGTGCTCTTAGTTACCTATGACATAATTCAGCGCTGATGACAATAATGTCTATTATCTAGCAGTGACCCATTCTTAATAGGCTACCCTCTTTGGGTTTCCCAAGCAGAACTAAGCATCAAATGAAACCCTTCCCAGATGCCCTGCCACTACAGAGGAAAAAAGGCCGTGTCTATATAAACTGATTTATAGGGGGGTCCTCCTTACCCACGGCTTCACTTTCCAAAGTTTCAGTTACCCACAGTCAACCACGTTTTGAAAATATTAAATGGGAAACCCCAGAAATTAACAACTCATAAATGTTAAATTTCATGCTGCTCTGGGTAGTGTGATAAAACCTCGTGCCATCCCACACCACCTGCCACTGACACGTATCATCCCTTTGCCCCGCGCATCCCCACTGTATTCGCTGCCCACCGTTAGTCACTTGGTGGCTGTCTGGGTTATCAGACTGACTGTCGTCATATCACAGTGCTCATAATCCTTATTTTACTCAGCAGTGGCCCCAAAGTATAGGGATAGTGATGCTGGCAATTTACATATGCTAAAGAGGAGCTATAAAGTACTTGCTTTAAGTGGAAAGGCATGAAAATATAAGAAAAAAACCCCTGGTGTGTATTGTATAGTGTTCAGTGCTAATCGTGGTTTTGGTCATTTACCGAGGATCTAGGCACCTGTCCCCTGCAGACAAGGGGGTACTACTGTATATTCAACATTCTGAGTAACACTACGTCACAGGTATTATTTTCTCCCTTCAGGAGAGGAGAAAATTAAGGCTCCGAGAATCTCAGTAAGTCGCCCAGGAACACTCAGCTAGGAAGTGGGACAGCTGGGCCTCCGACCCCAAGTTGACCACAGACTGTCCAACTGTCTGCCCAGACTGACCTTAAACTGCCTCACAGCGTCTTGCAGGGGCCCAGCTGACATTTCCACTGGGAGCCAGGAAAGGCCTTTACTTCCACTGCAACCGTTCCCGGGAACGAACTCTGCCATTCTAGGTCAGAGGCAAGTGGTTCTGTTGACTTGCCTCGGCCGGTTAGAGGCTGGTGGGACAGGACATACTGAAGATGCGTGAACAGAACCTGGAAATTGAAACGAGTATGCCAACATACACAGAAGAGCAATACTGAATTATCAGTGACGAATAACCATTTATGTCGAATCAGAGGGGCCATTCATTCCCTATGCAACTAGGCTGTGTGTTATGTCCTCTGTCAATCATGTCAATTCGCCCTTTTCCCTCCTCTCCAGCCCACGTCGTCAGTACAGACTTCCATCACTCTGTGCATCCCCCGCCCCACCCACCCACCCAGCCTCCAGGTCCACTGACCTGCCTGTGTCTTTGTAGAACCTAGTCCAGTGCTGGTATACTGTAAGAGTTCAATAAATGTTTTTTAAAATGGAGGGAGGGAAAAGTTCAGAGTTAGTGCTAAGCCCTAGAAAAGAGAATCTTAGAGAACTTATCACATACTTTTCTGATCCATAAGTAATGCCTGTAATGAACTATAGAGACCAGTACAAATTTCTGGTGTCTTCAGGCCACACTAAATTCGATCTTAGGTGACAAAATAACATGTTCCCTCCTCCCCTCTTCTACGGTTTATTTGGTCTTTATCCATAAAATACACTACTTGCGTATGTGTTATACAATGTGGATCTATCTCATGTTACATAAGTCTACAATGGGACATTTTGTCATACTTTCCTGTGAGGAATACAAAAACAACTCACAAACAATGCATGTTGCCGGAAATTGTTAGTGGTCTGTTCATGCCATCTATTTATTTATCCAGGACTTTACAGTTCACAGGAGCCTCTCATCATTGCTCTGTACCCAACATTTACTGAGGGGGAAACTGAGTCACGGGAATTATTAGTCGATTGCTATGTGGCTATTTCCTCAACCCTCAGGCACCATGATGGTAAGACGTACCATCAATTGAACCACCGCTTTTGAGGAAATAAAGAAACTCTACCTTATTCCTTGTGCATATGGCTTATAAGACTCATCCCAATGTTTCTGAGACGTTAGATTAAGTGGGCTTGCAGGGAAGGACATGCACCCTAAAAGAAAGGAAATACAAGAAGCAAAACAATGACCTAACTCAGTCTTTTAACTCTGAGTCACAGTGCATAGATAATCTCGTTTCTTGGCTACCTTATAAAGCCCTGCAAGGCAGGGGCTTCTCTGCACTGTTTATAGCTGTCTCTCAAAAGGCTGAATGTAGTGGCTTCTGTACAATATACTCAGTCGATTGATTTACACAAATAAAAAATAAAAACTCTTTCCTCTGTAAACAAAAATTAGAAACAAACCCCGATTTTTTATTTTTAAATTTGTGGGTGCTAAATATTCCCAGGCACTCTATTTGAAAAGTCCCCAAGAGCAACATTTGAGCCGTTGTTTTTCTGTGGGCCGTGTTTGGTGACTAAGGGTTCATCAGGAGATTTCCTTCTTCCAGGGTATGGCTCTGGGGGGTCTAACAAAACTTTAGAAGCCTAGAGGTCAACAATCAAAAGTTATATTTCAGGATGAAGCTCTAGAGGAACTTCAGGGTGAAACTCCAGATGTTCGGAGTTTATTAAAAAATACTAGAGGAAAAAACCTTAACACATTTGCACTCATATGAACAGATTTTTTTTATTCGTCAGGTGTAACACTGCTGAACTTGAGTCTTCTTACCTTCCAAGGTTAGAAAGCTTACACATAAAAATAAAAATATAAGCAAGGAAAGCAAGACACAGAGAAGGAAAGTTGTCACCTGGAACCGTGCAGAAATGAAGTTGCCTCTAATCGGTTATTTTCTTGTTCAAGGGAGAAAAAAAAATCAACTTTTTATTCCAATCCTGGTTGAAGTGGTTAAAAAAACAGTTTGTCCAACCCTGTGAAGTAAAAGAAATTAGACTCAAGTGGCCGTAACTGAGCCTCCCATCGGATTATTGTGCGAGGTCCCCTTGATTCCCCCCGCAGTGGATAATGCGTGTTCTTTGTGATTTATCTGGAGCTGGTTTCCTTTACACCTGCAGCCTATATAAAGTCGAGCTAGGGCTGGGGCTGGAGAATCGGGCAGCATCTGGGAGGCAGCATCCACAGTCCCGGGAGAATGAAACAGTCGGGAACATGAGCTACTCCATGTGCTACTGACACTCCCAGTAGTATGAGCCCTGCTTTTTGCCTCTGAGTGCAGACCCGGAGGCTTTAGAAAGACGGGGTGGACAGCATTTCAGATCTCCTTGGAAAACGGCCCCCAAGGCTGTGTCTGCTGCTTTGTTTGCACCCTTGATTCTAATTTCTCGCGCCTGTTTCTGACCTAGAACGATCGAGGCTTGGGCCCGGGCAGGACCGTGAACATCTGGCCAGTGTGCTTCAGCCCCCTGGCAGGGACCAGGTTCTGAGAAGCAATGGCGATGAGGGCCTTTGTCCTGCTGGCCGTCTTTGTGGAAGCCTCGGCGAAATCATGCACTCCGAATAAAGCAGGTACGCCCTGGTGCTGGTCTGTTTGCCTGGAGAACTCCCTGGAACTTCCCTTTACACAGCTCAGAGCTCTGTGCCTCTAGTGTTATGAAAATGCAGTAAGATAGCCACGTAGAAGCCGTTAAGCCCTGCTGTACCAATCCGAGTTTGCCCACAGGAAGCAAAAATGTACTGGATAAAATTAGAGAATGCCGGATAGATGGATAAATAGCGATAAAATCTCCAGATTTTTTTCTTTTTTCTACTTGATTGTTAAATTTCTAGCCTGTGCCATGAATTACTGTTTCACATTAATAGACATTTTTAAAAATTAATGGGCTTTTTATTTTAAGTTTTGTGCTTATTTTCATAGGTTTTTGTAATTTTTTATATACATGACTTATATATATATATACATGACATATATATATATATATATATATATATATATATATATATATATATATATACCCAATCAATCCAATCTGGTTTCACAGATATATTCCATGAAATAGATGAAAATTTAAAAGTGGACCAATTTTGCATCCATATTGAGTATAGTGCAGATATTACATAGCTGTATCAAAAACTATAAAAGCAGAAACTTGATGCCTGAAGTTTGGGGGAAAGTGTTATCACAGCCCATGAAGAATGGCAGGGAAAGTGTTTTCAACCAAGTGTTTTGCGTGTGCAGGTACAGCTAGGACCCTCGGTTGTTTACATGGATTCATATGGTCACCATGTCTGATTTCCAACCATGTGTATCCTTTTCCCAGATGTCATCCTTGTGTTTTGTTATCCCAAAACCATCATCACCAAAATCCCCGAGTGTCCCTACGGGTGGGAAGTGCACCAGCTGGCGCTTGGCGGGGTGTGCTACAATGGGGTCCACGAAGGAGGTTACTACCAGTTTGTGATCCCAGATTTGTCACCTAAAAACAAGTCCTACTGTGGAACCCAATCCGAGGTGAGTTTAGGCCACGCCATGAGGAGTCGCTAAGATGAGACAACGGGGCCCAAGGATGTGATGTCTGCTGTGTGCCCTTCAAAGGATCTAGAATCCACCTTTTAAGAGTCCATCTTATTCTTAGGATGTTAGGGTTATTTAAATTCTTCTCTTCTGCCTGGTTTAAGTGATGCTTTGGATTTGAATTTTATTCTCTTACTTTGTTGCCAGAGCCAGCTAGGCCACCTCTGTGAGTAGAACAACGTGCCTTTCCTGCCTCCACTTTGAGTTCTGAGCATGTACTCACAGGCTGTTACCCTCCCTGGGGTGGGTGGGTGGGTTGTCCTCTGCCTGAGATGTCAAAGTGGTGATAAAGTGCATTTGGGAGGGCATTTCATAGGAGTAACCAAAGTACAACACAATTCATAATTAGGCCTTAGGACATACCCAGGAAAGGCCATCAGAATGAAGGGGAACCAGAGGCAACCTCTGGCCAATACCCTATGTGACAGAGGAGAAATCTGACACCTCCCAATAAAGACACCGGTTGGGGGCCACAGATCCAGTAGGGACGTAGTCGTGGTCGGGAAGGGAGGCTGTGCTACTGCTGATGCCCCGCGTATCCGCTGCCTCGACTACAGAAGATTGTATAGAAATTAGGTCTGAGATGGGAGCCACCTCGTCTTCCTCAAGACCACACAGAGACTCAGTGATTAAGTGGAAAGGGTCATGGGCATGACGAACAAAAACATCACATCTTTGAGGATCCCGGTAGAGTGAACTCCAAATTATCTGTGCGGTCTTAGGCAGGTCATTCCTTAAGCGGATGTTCAAGATTTCTCCAGACTGTAATACGCTGTGATTTCAGTGTTCAGGAAGACAGAGGCAAGAATCTCAGAAACAGTGCTTATGATTATAAGAAGACTAGAACAAAGGACTGGACATTACTGTTCTGGAAATGGGAGATTTCTAGAAGTCACCCTCAGTGGGTGAAGGGATTCATGTAAGGCGACTTGGTCGGGGAAATGGGGGAAAAGTCAATGTTGGGAAATAAGGAGCCCGAGCCAGCTCCTCTTGGTCAGAAGCCCAGCAGGCATGTGGATTTCTCTTAGGCGTACGGCATTCAACTTAGATTATTTCAAACAATCGTAGTTGAACGGGATCAAGAACTCTTTATAAAAATAATCAGCCCACGCAGACCCCCCAAAAAGTGGATGCCACTCTCAACAGCAGACGTTCCTGTCTCCTCCTGGGGCCTTTTGTTCAGAGCCACCTTCAATCACTTTTCCCAGAATCTTCCTTCTCATCGTGGGGCACAGGCCCACCCTAACTGCCTTCTTCCTTTCCCCAGTACAAGCCCCCCATCTACCACTTCTACAGCCACATTGTTTCCAATGACAGCACGGTGATCGTCAAGAACCAGCCCGTGAACTACTCCTTCTCCTGCACCTACCACTCCACCTACTTGGTGAACCAGGCTGCCTTCGACCAGAGGTAAGTTGCTCGGAGAGTGGAGGGCTGGCTGCCTTGTGTGTGTCCTGCAGTCCCTGTCAATCAGGCATGTTTCAGTCCTTATGCAAAATTCTCTCCCCTTTTCAGAGTGGCCACTGTTCACGTGAAGAACGGGAGCATGGGCACATTTGAAAGCCAATTGTCTCTCAACTTCTACACTGTAAGTGGCCTCCAGGTCCCCATCACTGCCCTATGGCCTCTGCAAGGGGTGATGGGATGCTTCCTCGGGATTTGCTCTTCCCTCAGCTCTGTGCAGAGCTCTGTTCTTGAATTCAAGCTGAGATGGAAGTTTTGGTCTAGTTTTAACCCTCTTTAAAAGCTGAATGCGGCAGAAAGGCAGATTCATAGACAGGACAGAAGAACAGAAAAGGACCGCAGGAAAAAAAAGAGATCAACCTTCCCGTGTCATAGATGAGAAAACTGAGGCAAGAGAAATCCTGTGAGTTGCCAAGGGTCAATAGACAGCAAGACAATGTCTAACTCTTAATTGATCAAGATTAATTTTCACTATAGCTCACTCTGGAGATTTATATATGCATAGGATGTAGCTGGTGTTAAAATATTTGCCGAGTAGTGAGCTTCCTACCTGGGGCAGGGCTAAGGAGGCAGGTTGGGGTTGGCCTCGGTCCCTCCCCTTAGGTCTTTGGTCTCAGAAGGCCTCCACTTAGTGGGCTTCCTCATTGTCTCACGTGGGCATGCTCCCTGTGTTCACAACGAAGTTAAAGGCACATTTTGTCTCTCAAAATAAAGTGCTCCAGAGAAACTAAATATGCAGCCCAGCTGTCCTCCTGTTTAGAAGGGTGCTTTTAAAAATAATAATAATTATTATTGTTTTTATTAATAATAATATAATGTAATAATAATAATAATTATTATTATTATTATTAGCTTCCTACAAAGTTTTCCATGTTGGCTCCTATTTTTGTTTAATTTTATCTTTTTCCATCACCATTTATCCCTGCTGTACCCTCTTCCACCTCTGCCCACCCACTCTCCCCCACAGTCACCACTCTGCTGTCTGTGTTCATGGGTTCTTTTTTTCTTTTTTCTTTTTTCCTCAATCTTTCCACCGTGCCTGCTTTCCCCTCCCCAGAGCTGTCAGCCTGCTCTCTATCTATGAGTCTGTCTCTATTTTGCTCGTTAGTTCAGTTTGTTCATTAGATCCCACATATGAGTGAAGTCATATGCTATTTGTTTTTCTCTGAGTGCCTTATTTCACTTAGTGTACTGCTCTCTAGGTCCATCTATGCTGTCATAAGGAGTAAACCTTTCATCTTTTTTATGGCCAAGTAGTATTCCATTGTGTAAATGTACCATAGCTGTTTACCCACTCATCTACTGATGGGCATTTGGGTTCATTCCAAATCTTGGCTTTTGTGAGTACCAAGGGGTACTTTGTTTTTCACGCCTGCAGCTGTCAGTGAGGAAGCAGGCACACAGTGATACTGGCCCCGGGGGCCAGAGGAAGGCACAGGCAGAAATAGAAACCTTTCCAGTAGAGCTAGAAGACATCCTTACAGGTCATCATGTTCAACCCATTCATTTCCCAACAAAAACAACTCTATTACCTGGAACCCCACTCACCTTGAATCCTTTGAAATTGCTTTACTGACTCCCTGGAGGCTATTAGCCCTGCTGAACTCAGAAGGTGAGGACCAGAAGGGACCCTAGTCCATTTTACAGACGAGGGTCTGAGGCCCCGAAGCAGGAAGTCACCTGCCCCAGATCCCACAGGAAGTCAGAGCGGCGCCCAGTCTGGGACACAGGCCCCCTGACTCTGCTCTCTGAGGCGGACGTACTGAGAAGAGAATGAAGCCGAAGTTTCCCAGCCCTCCATTTGGACAGGCCCCTTTCAAAGCCTGTGTCTAATTTTTATATTGAACATTTTGGTTATTTTAATCAAGAGGGCTCTCCCAATTAGCATATTTTGTCATGTAAAATGCACTTTTTTGCCCAAATTTTTGAGGGAAAAATAAAGATGCACATCACACATGGGTATTACCGGAAATGCTTTGTATCTATTCTTGTGTTTTGTAATTATTTGGTACCATATGTTCCAAAACAAATGCTAAAATCCTTTATACTATAAAAACCAGGTATCTAAATACAAATAAATAAATCATTGAATTAAGAAATTAAAACGAAAGATTTTTTTCCCTGAAAGTTTGGGCCAAAATCATAGGTGTGCATTATACATGGCAAAATATGGTAAATAAGCTTCGAGCTCCCACAAAACCTGGCTGTGTCCCTGAGAGTCAGGGCGAGGTAACTGACGCAGGCAGTCCAGAGAGAAAAATAGGCTTCACACATTGACAACAGTGTCACGGAACGTCCTGATGGAAGGCTGCTTTACGACTGAGGCCCTGTCTGGAAGTGCATGATTGTTGTTTTAACCAGATAAAATGACAGATATGAGCTTAGGATGACCTTACAACAGTTGGAATTGGAAAGGCACAAGGTTTGTCAAAAATCATCATCCACCATCAACCATGTTGAGCCATGTTTCAGACATAAATATCAAACTGTAGAATGAGACAGAGGCTATTCTTTTGTAAGAGAAAAAAAATAAAAGTAAGAGGCATATCCTCAGCATCATCCAAGCCATCCTCTGGGCTGGACAGACAGACTTCACAGGATGCCTCCTTGAATGGGTCTAGAAATGAGGCTAAGACCTCCCCTGGGGCCCACCAAGACCTTTACAGGACAGATAGGTTTGGCAAAAAGGGGGTTCTGATGTTACAACCGAATTTTTTGTGCTGATTAATATTCCCACCACGGGTTCCATTTCCTGTGCCCGACCCCGTGTGGATGGCATTTTTCTTCCCCTCCCTTCTTCCGCTTTGAGGGCATTCTTGTGTGTTTCTGAAGGGACAGCTGCTCCCTGCATATATTTCCATCAGATTACCAGTGACAGAGCCGTGCCCTAGATTGCACAGTGGGATCAATGCTCTGCTAATTGCTGAGGATTCCGAGAACTCCCAATGCTGGGCTCCATCCCACCCCTCCTGCTCACCACGCTTCCTCTTTTCTCTTCCTACCCCTGCTCCCCACTCCAGCCAAAGGCCCATACCTGGTCTTCCTGGCAAAAAGTTATTTTGACTCCCAATCCTCTATAGGAATGTAGTCAGCTTGCAGAGGTAACCTAGAGCTGTGGTTAAGAAAATAGGCCTGGGCATGACACCATTGGTTCGAAAGCCTGGTTCTACTGTTTACCAGTTGTGTAACCTTGGGCAAGTTAGTTAACCTTTCTGGGCTTCCACCTGTGTCTTTTTTAAATTGGGATCATGATAGCATTTACCCATAGGTTTGTTATGAGGATTAAGTGAAATAATCCTTATGAGGCACTTACCTGAGTGCCCAACACAAGGTAAGTGCCTGTAAAAATAGCCATTCTCATGATTGTAGCCTTTGACCCCATTTAAAGTGGAAACTGAGAGCTTCCAGAACAAGCTTTGTTACCTTTATAAGGTTGAACATCAGTCTCCGTGTAGGACTGGGGTGACATTCGATTGAAAATGGTGCTGACCATTCCTCTAAGGGAGAGAGAAATGGAAAAGTTTGGGATCGAACAAATACAAACAACAGAGGCCAAAGTCATAGGCTTCCAGGGTCCAGATGAATTGCAGAGGTGATCCACCTTGACTTTCCATGCAAAGTCCAAAAGCCTTCTGCAAGATTGCTGAGCTGTGCTCCCTGCCTCTCCCAAAGGCAGGCTGGGCCTTCCCATCTTAGATCAGAGTACAATTATGATATCCTGAACCCCGGCTTATCGGCCTTGGTTCTGTCTTCTGGAATAGTGCCGTGGACTAATGCTGCTGATGGCCCTTCACCTCTCTCGAGCTTGTCTTTCCCCATCTAAACATCTCCCCACTGTGATGGCCCACTCATCATCTAGTCACTCTGGGTGTGGTCCCCCTGAGTGGCCTTATTAAAAAGCAGAGCCCAGCAGTGAAATATTATATCTAGAACTTGTCAGACCAATGTGGAGCACAGTGAGTCAAAGGTCATCTTCAAGGTTCTAGAAAACTCCAGGAACATGTTCCAGGGTAAGTTTAGCTTCAGGCAGTCTTCTTTCATTGAGATCTCACCTTGAGCTTCTGAGTAAAAGCAACCCCCAGATCTTGCCCACGCACACTGCTGTCAACCCACACGTACCTATCCTCACTGTGTCACCAGCTCGTTGTGACTCAATCTCTTGGTCAAGCGACGGGCCAGATGGCCGGATTTTCCGAGGTGCACTTTCATCCAGTTCCCTGAATGAGTAGCTTATGTGGCGTTTCTGTTTCCTGGGATGCCAAAACAAACTGCTTCTAGTGTAGGGTGAAGCTTTCTGGAAACAGGTCCCTAATTTTCATGTTATGAAGAAAGTTGCGGGGAGTGTGGGGAGCAGTGCATTGCGCTGAGCATTGCCTTAGCCATAGGGTGAGAAGTGAAGAAAGTGACCACTTAAAGTGTTTTGTTTCAGAGATGGCACCAACAGCAGAGAACAGAGTAGGTTCTGTTCTCCACTTTGACACAACCTGGCAGCTTCCTCTGGGAGCAGAGGCATTACTCCACTCTCCCAATAGTCTGCCGGCTGTGCCCGGGGCGATGCAGCCAGGAGAAGCCCCTCTGACGGAGCTGGGGACTGCAGTGTGACCCCTAGTCTCCACCTTTGGCAATGGCCTCTTGAAGTATGGCAAGTCTCAGAAAATAACAAAAAGTAATAAATAAACCCTACTGCTAACCTGTCACTTCAGTGTGCATATTGAGCTAGTAAATGACTTGTGATTAAGAACACTCTTGTTTAACTATTGCAACCATGTAAATGGTGGAGGAAACTGACAGACATGTCGGAAGAAAACATCAGATTTCTAGGTGACTTGAGCCTGGGAGCTCTTTAGAAAAGTTTAGAAACTCTTCTAAAATAATGGAAGAGTTTCCAGAAGATGATTCTGAGGCCTCTCAGCAAGTTCCCTGGATGTGAGTCATAGTGGGGTTAAAGTCCCTTTTAACTAGATATCCTTGCTGCCACTGTTTACCTATTGCAGTTCTGCAAAGCTGCAAGTCCATGAACCTCAAATTTTAAGGTAGTGTCCTGGCTTAAGCTTCATGCTTCTATTACCTAAAATCACCATCATAAAAAGATGTCTGCAAGGTAAGTGAAGGCAAAGATTTTTCCCATTTTGAAGATGGGGTCATTGAGGCCCAAAAGGCTGATTTGCCTATAGCGTGTCCCAAGATAGTGGTGGGAGGTAGAATCAACCCAGGATCCTTGTCCTTCTGTCACGATGCTTTTGCCTCTGGAAGCCAAACTTGGAGAGTAGTTAAAGGTCTTTACTACAGTTGTTGAGCCCAGCAATGAAAGAATGGAGAAACCAGCCTCGTTTGGGTAAGTCAACCGGCAACACTGCCATTTATTCCTAATAACTCACCCAGAACTGCCTGATGAAGATGACCATTGAAGACCACACCCTCCAGGCCCGTGACTAAAGGCTGCTGCTTCTGCACCCAAGTCATGACCATGACTCCCTGTGGCACTTAGAGTTGAAACCACAGTTTCCACTGGGTCTGTCTCCACAGCCTCTGGGTCACCCGCATCTCCTGACCCCACGCATTTCTGCCTTCCCTCCCGCATCTCCCCTTTGCCCAGGCACAGTGGCTTCTTTGTTGTCCTGCCGGCCACACTCTCAGCCCCAGGGCCTTTGTCTTGGCTGAAACACTCTTCCTTGGATGCCTGGGTGCACTACAGAGCAGTTTCTTAGTAGCAGTACTTGGCCTGGAAGAACAGGCTCTGTCACCTTCCCCAAAGCTTGGTTCAAATGTCACATCCTCAGTGAGGCCTCCCCAGCTACTCTATTTACAATTGCAGCTTACCCCTCCTTGCACTCTCAATCCACCTTACCCTGATCGAATTTTCTATGGTTTTTCTATCTTTTGTGCTATCGTCTATTCTGACATACATAGTTTGCTTCCCTATTGTCTCTGGTCTGTCTCCCCTGGGAGAATGCTGGGTGGTTGGAGACAGAGATCTGTGCTGTGTTACCCAATAATCTCTATAGACAAAATGTCTCTACTGGGCTATGGGGATGAGCCCAGTAGAGAGAGTAGTGCCTGGCCCATAGTAGGCGACCCATGAGTTGTGGTGTTAACTGTGCTGGGAGTCAGATCATAACCTTTCCAACCCAGGCTGGGATCAGCCCAAACAGCAGAGGAACGGGTACAAAGCAGTGTTGCCTGCGTGTGGTCCCCGTGCCCGGGGGTGATTCAGTAACACACGGTGCGTCAGCGTTCCTGGACTCCACTCTTTTTTCCATCAGATGAGTCTTGTTCCTCTTTGGCCCAGATGAGACATTCAGTACATGTCTCACTGTGACCAGCAAATCCAGACATGTGATGTCCTTATCCCTCCGAGGATGGCACCAGCGGGTACAGCTTCTCTGGTCCCGAGGGTTTCTCACTGTGGTCTCCTGTACCTGAGCCCTTGGGTTGATCCCCGCCCCCACCCTAACCCGATTCACCTGCTGCTGTCACACCCAACTGCTCAGTCTGAGAGGTCATAATGCCCAGTGTCAATTTCCTTCCAAAGAATGCCAAGTTCTCCATTAAGAAAGAAGCCCCCTTTGTCCTGGAGACACACGAAATCGGTTCAGATCTGTTTGCAGGAGTAGAAGCCAAAGGCTTAAGCGTTAGGTAAGTACACTTCCTCCATGTTTGTATTTTTAAAGACAAAGAAAAGTGAAAAAGACTGGCCAAGAGACTTTTCAAGCACCAGATGTTTTCAGGCATACAATTCGCTGGCTCAAAGTGATGTCCTTCATTTCATTTCCAGGTTCAAAGTGGTTCTGAACAGCTGCTGGGCCACACCCTCAGCCGATTTCATGTATCCCTTGCAGTGGCAGCTGATCAACAAGGGGTGAGCACACTCTCTGGCACACAGGCCTGAGGGGTGGGGCCAGGTAGACCGGGGGCAACTCTGGTTTGGCAAAGCTGGGGAGAAGGAGGCGGAGCCTCTTGTAGTTAACTAGTGACATCCTCTGTGCTTCCTGGCTGAGTCCTGATAGTAGCAGACATGTCTGTAGTGCTTTCTGGTTCCAGGTACTGCTGTAAGAGCTTTATCATATATTAACTCTTTTGCCTTACAACAGGTAGGTATCATTCCTACCACCTCCATTTCCTGGATGAGAAAACTGAGGCACAGGAGGGGTTAAGTCAGGTCACGTCATTGGCATGTGCAGAGGGGAAGGGTGTTCAAATCCGATCTGTCTGAGACCAGGACCCTGGCAGGGACTCAATTAGATAATCCGTGTAAAAAGCTTAGCACAGAGCACCTAGTCGGTACCCAACTGATTTAAATAATATCATTGTTTTTACTATTAACTCGGTAGATAACGAAAGGACTAGAATTGCACAATGGAAAAGCAGTTCTGAAGTCACACACAGGGCGGTTTAGAGACAGGACGCAGGAGGAGAAAGACCAGGTTAGAGGCCGCGGCGGCTACGGAAGCAAACATGACAATCCCTGGACTGGGGTGCAGCCGGGGAATGAACAGGTCGCCCAAGGGAGGGAGAAATGTCAAAACTTAGCCGCCAGTTGGATGCGTCAGGCAGAGCTATGTTGGCAGGACAAGGACTCTGAGGAAGGTGTGGCAGACATGGCTTTGTATTGCGGAGTCCATGATTGAGAGGTGAAGAATGGTGTATTGTTGGTGGCTGCGGCCTGGGGCTTTCTGGATAAGGGCCTCTGGATTCTCCTTGCACACAAGGATGACACGTTAAGCTGGAGATGACAACTTTCCAGAAACGGAATTGTAACTTTGGAAGACAGAGGTGAGGCAGAGCTAGACCAGAGATGGGGCGCCATCCACACGGTGACCGGTGAACACAGCCGAGGCCGCCGCCCAGACCCAAGCAGAGCACGGTGCCCTTGTTATTTCCAGAACCCATCAGCAACACTCGAGTAAACACTGGGGCGGGGGACAAACGTGATTAGATAACAAAGGCCGAGCCACTTTGGACCTTTAACTATTTATTTTTATTAACACACACTTGTAAAGCACTTACAACATACCAGACCTTGCTCTAGCTAGGTGCTTTACAAATATTATTTACATTTCTTTAAACCTCTATGAAGTAAGTCATGTAATAACCTCTATTTTATGGAGGAGAACACTGAGGTACAGACAGGTTTTGAAACTCGCCCTAAATCTAGAGCTTGGAGGAGGACAGATCTGGGGCCCAAGCTCAGGCAGTGTGACCTCCTGGGTGGTGTGACTGGGACAGGCCAGCAGAGCCCCCTCTGAGCAACCCGGCAAAGCTTTCTGCAAAGTAGGGAGCTTAGTCTGGGAGCTTACTTCACATCTGTCATTGAGTGACTCGTTTAGGTTCTGTTGATATGGGATCAAAGGACCTCGGGGAGATGCTGAAATAAGTCACTGAGCTACCAGGACCTGCAATTACCACCAGGTACTGGGACCTTCCCTCAGACAACAGCCACAGGGGCAACGGCTTCCACCTGCAGATCGTTCTGGGGCTGTTGCTCATATGACACACCTGACAGATGTGTCGCATAAAAGAAAAAGAATGCTTGTGGCTTTGGGTCATCCATACAAGTGCCCCACAAACTCAAGGGTGCACAGAAATTACCAAGGGTGTCTGTCACACATGCAGAAGGTCCCTGGGTAAACCCGGGGAATCTGCACTTAAGCACAGCCCTTCAGAAGGAGTCCTGAGCTATTTCCATTGCCAGCCTGGTTGAAATGGCCCTGAAGGTCAGGACTACATGCACAAAGACCCATGCCAAGGGCGAGAACGAGGAAGCCCACTTCCACTATCTGCCAGGTGCTTTGGGGTCACACTGGGCCCTTTGGGAGGAAAACCCAGTTTTCAAGAGTGCCTGAGACATCAGAGTAGATATATCATCAGGCGGTTTGATTCTGTGGGGACAGAGACTCTGCAGCAATGGTGTGAAAACCTCCCTGTGGGTATTCCACCATCCAGAGATGTCTGTCACGGAGGGGCAGGTGCCACAGCCATTGCCAAGTGACAGCAGTGCCAAGGCATCTAGTCTTGCCCATGACTTGCCTCCTCCCCACCCTTGACAAAGCTCTGCTTACACTGTTTTCCACTGGCTGATGCCACACCTTGGGCACTCCAGCTTCAAGGAGCTATTTTAAGAACTCACGTCTTGAGTTTGTACAAGAATCTCAGGTTTTTTGACCAGATGATCCTCTAAGAGTCTTGTTTCACAGCTCTGAAAATGCCCCCAGCCCCGGCACTGCTCAGAGGCCACCAAGCACAGAGGCCAGCTTCTGACCTGGTCCCCGATATGAGGCACAGCGTTTACTCCTCATTTCACTCACTCTCTATCAGAGTTAACATTCTTTCGGTCCCGTCTCGAGTTTGGCCCCTAATGTCTGGTTCTGATACAATGGAGTGGGGAGGGGACATCACAAAGCTTCTCCCCGGTGGCTGCGCTGCTTCCTGGTGCGTGTGGAGTTGGATTGGTAACAGTCAGAGACACACTCCGGGGAGCACATTAACTTTGGGGCCCAGTGTGGTATGGTCCAGCGGTCTTAAGCTTTTTTAAAAAATTATTTTATTTTATTTTTAGAGAAGGAAGGGAGGGAAAGAGAGAGAGAGAAACATCAATGTGCAGTTGCTGGGGGTCATGGCCTGCAACCCAGGCATGTACACTGACTGGGAATCGAACCTGCCACACTTTGGTTTACAGCCCATGCTCAATCCACTGAGCTATGCCAGCCAGGGCTGGGTCTTAAGCTTCTGAATGCATAGACCTGTTCCACAGAGGACAGATCCTGGCACTCCCATCACCGGCAGAAAGTGCACACCCACACTCCTGTGCACCTCACTGTACGATTTTCCCAAGGACAACTGTGTCTCCTCCCCACACCGGGTTGAATGTCTGACACTCAAATAGGGCATCAGCCTACATTTGGTAAACAGAAAAGTACTTTGCTTAAACCACAGTTTCTCAGTCCCAACAGCACTGACATTTTGGGCTGGATCGTTCTTTGTCGTGTGTGTGTGTGAGGGGGAGGGGGTCAGTCCTGGGCACTGCACGATGTTGTGCAGCTTCCCTGGCCTCCACCCGGGGGCTGCCGGTCACACCTTCCCCAAGTCAGGACAACCGCACCACCAAATGTCCCCTGGGAGGCAAGTGGCCCCCGGGGAGAACAAATGGCTTCAACACATGCCCATCGGTGTCATTATTTTTTTCCTTTATTGCCACTGCTACATTTGGGACTTACACATAAACGTGCAGAGAAGAAAATAAAACTGCCCGTAATCCCACCACTCCACCACAGCCAGGGGTAACATTCAGCTGCTCTCCTTGCAGTCATTTGTTTTGCTCCCATGTTACCAATATGGCCGCGTTTGTACAAAGGTAATTATAGAACAGATATAGAATTTAAATAGTATAACGTAAATTGAAATTCCCAGTGGCAAACCTCACGATACACACAGACACGCGTGTCGGGCATGACTTGGGCTGAGGCGGCTATGGCGGCACTTTGGGAGATGCTGCGTCAGCCCCATTGCCTTCATCGTGTACTCATCCTGGCTGTCTGTACACACCCCTGGGCTCCGGGGGGCTTTATCTCAGAGAGGTCGCTCCTTTGGGACAGACATGTGCCTTGCCAGGTGTGTGACCTCTCGTCAGTCTCTCCCCTCACCCCTCACTGTCGCCTGACTGTGGAATGGGGACGACCACACCCATCTCACCCTTCCTCACCTTGACCGCATGCACAGTCGTGAGGGTACGTGAGATGCTGCCAGGCGAGGTGCTCTGGAGGGATAACGTGCTGTGCGAAGCCCAGGGGAGTGTTGCTGCTGGGCTTGGACGTGCCTGAGCAGCTCTGGCTGGCTTTCGTGAGTAACATTTTCTCTCTTCTCTCCCTCTCCCCGCCACCCTGGCCCCCCTGTGCCTCAGCTGCCCCACGGATGAAACAGTCTTTGTGCATGAGAACGGGAAAGATCACAGGGCGACCTTCCAGTTCAATGCTTTCCGGTTCCAGAACATCCCCAAACTCTCCAAGGTCTGGCTGCACTGCGAGACGTTCATCTGTGACAGCGAGAAGCTCTCCTGCCCCGTGGTGAGCCACCTCTCTCCAGAACGACGCTGCTACCCGAGGGGAGGGGAGGGGGGCTGGCATTTGAGAAGCTATATTTTTAGCTGGGATATGGTAACCAGACCGGGGCAGGGGAGTGCTGAGGACATTCTGAAGGAAAGGACACTGAATATGGGGCAGACATTCTGGGCCCTGTCCACCCTGCCACCAAGTGACAGTCTGGCACGTGTCACTTGACCTCTGGAGCCTCGTTTTCTCATCTTGAAAGGTAGGGTGGTGACGTGTAATGGTGGCCCTTCCCTTTTCCGAGAGCAGTGGTAAGTCAAACGAAAGCGATACCAGACATGGAAATGCTTTGAAAAAGTTGAAAAGCACAAGGGAAATTTAAAATCTCAGTGGTAGGGATAGGCTCTGGATGGAAGTCAAAACGTGGGTATTTTTAGCTCTTGAGTGGCCAGTTTCCCCTCCTCCCCACCACCTCCCTCGAGAAGTTTCAACACCATCCATCAACAGGTGGAGCAGATTTAGGTGAAAGACAGTTTTCCCTCGCGACCTGATGTGACCCTGGTCCTCTGAGCAGTGGTTCTAAAATGGGGTCCATGGCAGCTTCAGGGTCACCTGGAGGCTTGTTAGGGATGCAAATTCTCAGGCCCCCCAGACCACCTGACTCAGAAACTCTGTGTGGGCCCCATAACTGTACTTCCACGAGTCCTTCGGGTGATTCCAAATCACGCTCAAGTTTGAGAACCTCTGCCTCCGAGAGCCTGAAAGTGTTAAATCCCGAACACTTACCTCCTCCCGTCTGTCGGGCCTGACAAGCCCGGTGGGGAAGCACCCTCACTTCGCCCACAGTCACCAACAGACACAGGATTAGAATCTCTAGTTCTGTTGATTCACTCGGCCAGAAAGCGGTCACTTCAGAGCACCAATAGAGAAAGAGAAGGGAGCAAGAAACATTTAATAGTCAATGAAAGGATAATTATTGGCATGACATTTGAAAAAGGAAGATGAACCAGATGACACCCCAGATCACTGTGGTGAGAGTGACTGCTAGGGAAAAGCCTTATTTCTCATTAAAAAAAAAATTGCCACGCCCTCCCACACCCAGTGCCTCCCGGCCCCCCCGCCCCCCCTCCCCGCCCCCTGCCGCCGTAGGATTTCCTGCAGCATGAAGCGTGGATAAAGTGAAGCCCTCCTCCCTTTCTCAAGTTAAAGAAGGGATGAAAAATGTCTCCCTAGGTTATTAAAAAACAATAAGGTAATTGATGTCTCTTAGCTGGGGAATTTTGACTCTATCAAGTTTGTGACTGTTTTTTTTAAAATATCTTGTCTTTCTTTTCTCTCCTGTGTTCCTGTCTCATCCTGCCTCCCACCCTCCTCCCACCTCCGCTCCCTCCTGGGTCTGCAGACTTGCGACAAACGGAAGCGCCTCCTCCGGGACCAGACAGGGGGCGTCCTCGTCGTGGAGCTCTCCCTCCGCAGTAAGAGTCTCCGTTACCCACGTGGCTGCGTCCACTCTGGGCTGCGTCCACAGGCACAGACGGTTGGAGCATTTTAACTGAACTGCCAAACCAGCTGTGCCTGTAGACACAACCTTCCTCTGCAACTCGAATCTTCTTAATTAACTGGTGGGGGTGGGCAGCTCATGCCAAAGCAAGGAGTTAAAGTCAGTCAGCTACCTGGGAAAGCTCTCCCTGTGGCCTGAGTTCCAATTCCCAGCCCAGCCCCAAGGACCTGGGACATGCCGAGCTTTCAGACACAGCATGCTGTCGACAATCCTAACAGAAAACGAAACTGACTGGGACCACCCGGTGCACGCCAACAAAATTTTACTCAGCAGCCAGAACTGGGCCTACCCTGAACACTGGGTCTTCAGAACTAGAGGAGCCCACCCCCCAACACCCCCACCACCAGGGACTTTGTTTTAAAGAACTTATCAACTTGGATGGGGAGAGACGTTAAATGCTAAGGGAAAGGCAGCCACTGTCAATGGCAGTGGGGGAGGGGCCCATGGGAGTATACGACCAGAGGAGGGATTCGACCTAATCCAGGGCTTAGGGAAGACCTCTGAAGGTTACCAAACTGCAGCTGGGAGCTGGGGAGATATGGCAGTAATCTAGGCTGCCCCAGATTTTGTACGGCCTGCAGGCTAAGAAACTTTTTATGGGGTTGAGAAAAAGAATACATTTTATTTCGTGACAGAAGAATTATACGAAGTTCACATTTCAGTGCCTGTAAAGAAAGTTTTTCTGAGCACAGCCACACCCGTTCATGTAGGTGTTGTCTCCAGCTGCTTTCACGCCGCGCCAGATGCAGTAAGGACCATCTGGCCCGCAGAGCTGAAAATATGCACTATCTGGCCCTTCCCAGAAAGTTCCCCAACCCCCGAGGAGAAAATGGCGTGAGACGAAGCCTTTGTAAACCCCACTATAAACGCTGTTCCAAAGGCAGTGGAGGGCCTGCTGGTTTAATCGGGGAGGATGCAGTCAGGTTTGTGTTTTAGAAACACGGCTCGGGGACTTCTTCCACGATCTTTTCTTAAACCTTCGGCATTGTCTCTCTCTTTACTCACTACAGGCAGGGGATTCTGGAGTCTCTATAGCTTCTCAGGTAAGGAAAAGAGGCACCTCTGAGAAACGTCCATGAGCAATGCTTTTAACCCGGATGTGTGTTTTAGAAGAAGGTTACCTTCGGCCCCAGCAAAGCCTGTAAGAATTGAAAACTACTCTTTCTAGCACACCTGAGTGGGTGGAGGGGGATGGAGGTAGAGCAGTCTCTCTCCAGCCAGCCCCTGAGCTCTGAAGTGGGGGAGGGGCCAGGGCAAATCACAGGAAGCAGAACTGAATCCCACTCCCCAAGTCTCAGCCAAGACATCACCAGGTGGCTTTGCTTGGTTCCCGCATTAAGAGAATGGATCAGTGGCTTTCAATGACCTGTTCATTGAACAAATATTTGAGTTCCTGCTATGAGCCTGCCCCTCATTAACTGAGTGACATTGGGAAATGACCTCACCCTTGCAGTCCTCAGCTTCCTGTATGAAGTAGTCTAGTAATTGCCACTATCACACATGGCTGCTGTTTGGATTAAATATTACAGCTAAGGGCAGCGAATAATGCCCAGCACACAGCAAACATCAGGAATGATAAGCCATAATTACTGTAACACCAGATCAGGTGCTACTCCAGGCTGTCTAGTTATTACGGCGAGGCCGGCAAGGCCCCTGCCCTTCCTGAAGTGTTGGGCTGGGGAGGGGGAGAAATGACCGAGCAACCAGGGAAGCGTCTCAGAGGAAGAAACAGGTCAGCTAAGGCCCAAGATCTCGGCCGAATGATGAGAAGGAGGCAACTATGCAAGCAGCCAGGGTAAGACGCTTCTATTTATTAATACACTCGCAGAGGCAGACTTTGCTCTTGCAATTAATGACAGGGGGTCACGTCAACCAACTTTTTTAAGACCCTAATCGCAGATTCTCAGTTTTAAAAGGAGGCTCTACAGCTAAAGCCCTACAGTGAAATACACCATCCCCGCATTATCGAAGTTCAGATTCCCGTCTGTCAGAGGTCCATGTCCGAAGTGCATCAGTGCGATCCTTTGCACTGATGAAAGGGAGCTAGAGAACCCCAAAGGGTGGGCAAAAGTGACTTACTATACAATGGGTAGGATTTACGAAAAGCTACTTCACATCCCTAGGCTAGCTTTTTAGTTACGCTTGTTGAGTAGTCCCTGACCCTTGCAGGACTGTTTCTGAGCGTGCGGCCCCCTCTGTCTGGTCCACAGATGTTCTCCGCCACCTCGTCGTGATGCTGGGGATTCACGCTGTCTTGTAGGAGGAGCTAGCCAGGCGGGCGGCGGCGGCTCCTGCATCCAAGGTCACCTCTGATGATGACAAACTCACATTTTTGTGTGAGTGTGCTGCCAAAAAGAACAGACAGAAGACCATATTGTTGGGGAAGAGACAACTGCGCTTTGCCAAATATGTGTTCCCATGATTTTTGTGAATTTCAGTGATTGTTTTTCTTTGGTGCCCTATTTTCTCTTGTTCCTTCCTGTGGCCCTCAGCTCCTGCCATCCCCTCCTGCGACTGGCTGGCAGGGGACATCTTCAATCCCTAAACTCGAGTCAGGGCTGTGGCGGACGCTTTGAAAGCTCTTCTAATTTTAAAAGACTAGCAGAGCCAACCAAGTGCTGCTGAGCATGTGGAGGAGAATGTAGGGCAGGGCCACAAAGTCAGTGCCAGTACAGAATGCACAGGAATAGCCAGCTTCCCCGAAGGGGCCTTTGTCATTGATGCTGTCAATTCTAATCTGAGGATCAGAGCTGAGCCTCAGGGGTTCCGAGCTTTTGAACGATGAATGGTAGGTGGCAGGGAATCAGAGTGGAACAGTTTCTGCTCAAGTCCGAATCATATAAAGGGATGCAATTCTTGAGAACCCCAAGAGTGCTAACCTAATTAATTTTATGATAGGGTTTCTTAAACACGTGTAAACATTTCATAAGGATACACTTTGTTTTTATTGCTGATATATATTTCTAAAATCAAAAGAAAGTAACAAATTAAATAGGAATAAAACTACGCAAGGACAAAACTCACGTCGACATTAATTTAACATAATGTGACATTTACTAGACGGAGCTGCTGCTTCCAACAGGACTGCAGAGTGACAGTGTGACAGGTCGCATCGCAGGCCTTGCGATGCTCAGTGCGCTTTCTTCTTCTTCTCTTTTCTCTCCGAAGAAATCCTCATTCGTACAGAATGGTCTGACCTCATTTAGCCTCTCCTTCTGCATTCAAACCCGGACCTGTTTTGTCTCAGCAACTTATGATCATTAGCATAAAACCAACCAAGAAACCAGAAACACAAACGCAAATCTGGCCAATGAAATCTCATGGTGCCCCCTCCTGTTAACCCTGCCACCCAGCCCACCCCCACCCCAGGAACCCCAAATCTGTCGATATCAGTCCTTTACATTGTCCACAAAACGAAACTGAATAAACCCATCCTGGTCGAAAACTGGCAGTTTCCGAGAATGCACTGCAGACCCCAGTATGAAGCTAAAAGCTGGAGCTTCTAGATAGGAAAAGTTGGAGCTAGGTTTTTTTTTTTAGTCTTATACAGACCTAATTAGTGGGCTTCTGCTTTGTATCTCTATACTGTATGTATCTGAGAGGATTTGAGATCTTTCCTTTGACGGCTCTTTTACAATCGTGTTAATGAATTCAGAAACGAAGCTAGTTCTCAAGTCTCCGGAGACACAGAGCACATGTTTGTTTAGCGACAGGCTGGATTAACATGACTCAGTGTAATCTAACCTGGCCTCAAAGCTGGTCCCAAACCAGTTGGCACTTCTTCCTCCTGTAAATTTAGATGTTGCCGTCAGGAAGGACGGGAGACATATTTTACTGGTTCTGGTGAAAAACTCGTAAATAGAATACTCAGAGCCATAATCCAAATCCTTGGTTGTCAGAGTAAAACACAATGTTGTATTAGTTTTGCTTTACTTTATCATCATGTTTAATGATCTTGTATCTCTACCTGGTGCTATGGAATAAATAAATGCCTTAAAATAAGTAGCCTGTGAGTAAGCTGTTAATATATCCTGCCAATAGCTAATTAACTAGATGTGTTTTGACTTCAGATTAACAGCCCCATGATGTCTGGTTCCTCTCTGAGTCTCATATCTTCTTCTCTACTGAGGTGTTAAGAAAAATCACTCTCAAAACAGTCTCTCTTGCAAAATTTCCATTAGTGCTAAACATAAAAGAGACCTTTAGAGAAGGAGGAAGAAATACAGTCTCCCTTAGGTGTCCTTGGTTGATACAGAAAAAAACACTGGCTATAGATTTTAGAAAATGGCTTTTACCACACATATGTATTGAGTACACACAGTCACATAAATCTCTATTAATCAATCCATAGATGTAGATGAGATAGAGATAGAGATTACTTATGTGTGTGCTCAGTATATATGTATATATTTATATGCATGTGTATTATGGATACATACGCATGTGTGTGCCTGTGATGTCTGTGTATGTGTATTCACATGTGTGTATACATGTTTCATGTGTATGTGTGCGTGTGGATGCCAAATGTTTATGTTAAAGCGTTCAGTGAAAAAGGACAGAAGTAGCAAAGCTATTCTGATAGGAACAAGACTTGTGTGAGCATGTGGGCTAGGGCTGGGAGGAAACACGCACGCTCCATAAAAGTACAAAGATGGGGTATTAATAGACAGTTGCCATATCCTGCCCCATTCCTGCAGCTGTGAATCATTTTCTGAGGCTCTTTTAATGTAACATTACTCAGTTGCTTAGTTACTCCTACATGTTTGTACGTACCTCCTTTCATCCTTAATATATTGCATTACCATTATTTGTGCCTCCTTTCTCCAACTAAACTGAGAGCTAAAGACCAGTGAAAGTTTCATATTTTCTTGAGTCCCCCAATGTGGTGGTAGCTGGCACAGAACAAGTGCTCAATAATTCTCCTTGAATTAATGATGGATGGATGGATGGAAGGATGGATGCATGCATGCATGCGACTGGTCTATCTTTCTAAGAGACCTCATAGTAGAACTTGCCTTGTTCCCTTTCATGGTGGAGCACAGTGTTTGGGATCCAGAAGCCCGCATCCCAAACAAGGCAAGAAGTTACGAGGCATAGGAAGATAAATTTCGGCCCGCTGTCTCTATGTTGGAGTAGCAGGGGAAGCTCCCCTGCCCCCTTCATATAAATGCCGCTGCCCTCCCCCCTTCTGGGCATCAGTCAGTCAAACGCCTTCCATCTCTGGTGCTGAAGCCGGTGGACAGGAGCCACGCCTACCACAATGAAAACGGAACCGCGTCCCAGGAGGCGGGGTCTGCGCAGGCCCCAGAGTTGAGCAGAACAAAAGCTCTGCTGATGGAAACTAAACGCTTAGGAGCTCGATGGAGATGGGACTGTTTGTGAAGCACTTCCCTCTGCCACTGTTTGACGTCCCCGTGACTGAAGGAAGGCAAGAGTTCCACCAAACGTTTTGTAACATTTGGTATTAAATGCTCTCAATCGACCAACCGGCCATTTATTTCCCTATACGGAACTCCAGAATACCTCCACAAAGGCAGCTCAGCGGTCAGGCTAAGGGCTCAGGAGAGACCCTCCCGAGTCCCGCTGGTTTTCCCCTCTCCAGTCACGGGGAATTCAACAGGAAAACGTCTCAAACACGACACATCATTCAAACTGCTCGCCACATTCAGAGCAGCCGCACGGAAGGTAATCTGGATGCAGGGAGTTGCAAGGGATAAACAAACTCTGAATGCATTCGGGGTTCAGGGAATCTATTACAGGAACCATGAAATAAAACAACATGGAATCCTATTCTCTGTGTAAAGGGGTACATACTCATAGCAGAATGGATGGGCTCATTCATCTTTGTCTGCTGAAGATTGCCCCCCCAAAATTAAACACATAAATGAACGAAAATTTCTATTTAAAAGCCAAGCCTTGATCGCACTCTTTGCTCCGTGGCTAGGAAAGAAATTAAGCGATAAATCGAGAATGGGACCTCATGTATTTGGGAGCTGCCAGGCTCACGGAGGTCAGAGCTGCAGAACACAGGCCTTCCAGCGATGGACTGCAGGTGTTCTGTCTGCTTGCAGCGATCGCTGAAATCCTTGTCCTATCTGATTTCAGTGATCGCTCACACCTGAGGCAGAACTTTACCCCCGAAAACATTCCTGAGATGCCTTTTGATAGGAGCTCCCCTCTACCTGCAGTGTGAGCAGCTGATTAGGAAAACAAGCACAAAAGATTAGGGAGCAGCCACCTTTACGTTAAAAGGCAGAACAGGGCCAGACCTGTGAGTAGCCTCATGCTTTCTCCTCCAGCTTTCCCCTCTCCCAGAACAAAACTGCCAACTCGCAAGCTAATGAGCCGGAATTATTTGGCAGCGAGGGCAGTCTTACTGACAGCCTTGGCAATGAACTCACTATGTTCAGCCCATCAGACTCCACATTTGCCCCAGGCCAGCTAGATGGCGCCCCCTACTGGGAGTCTGACTCCATACCAAGGAACTACACCCCCAACATGGTGTATGTCATGCACCCCACAGACTTTCCTGGGACCACCACTCCCCCAAACATCTTTAAAGAAAACGAATCACCTCAGAAGATCTCTGGGACTGCAGCTTCTTCTTCAGTAAATTCAGGAAGTGGAGACGTGAAGCCTTCTTTGCCTTTCAGCCAGACAGTGGTTTGCTCTCCTTTGCCCTGGGGGGCAGAAGAGACAGCTGGTGAAGAAGCACAGGGGAGGAGAGGCCGCCAGTGAAGTGAGGCTGGCTCTGAGAGGACAGCCCGGCTCTCCGGGGCTGGCTTACTGGAAACGCCGTGCATAGCCAGAACCGCAACCGGCCAGGAGCTGCTCCCATGGGGGAAAGGCCTTATTATACACGAAATCCTGAGGATTCCCTCGGGCTGGCTGGTAAGCCCAGACAGATGGTCAGTGACGGCCTATGGCTGACAGGGGTGGGGGGGGGGGTCAGTGGAGGCTAAAGTCTGTTGCAAAGAACATCTTTAAATCATGATAATAAATACTTTGGAGGTTGTACTGTGATGAGTAGGTGTTGGGAACCGCCCTGACTGGTATCAGAGGCTGAAACCCCCGCCTAGCTAAGGCTAAGGGAACGCCCTTGGAACTGTAAGCCAGCAAGGAGACAAAAGCTTGTCTTCCTGGCAGGAATGCTGCTTCTGCTGCTTTATTCATAACTGAACCCCCCAAAAAGCTTGGTCGGTTAGCCAAAGACGGGTAAGATTCCCCACGGGGGAACGACCTAAGCCAGGCACGATCACTTTGGGAGGCCCCCCAAAAGAAGGACTTGGGGGGCTGCAGCAAAAGGGGGTGATGGACCCTCGCTCCTTGGCTCTGACATAGCCTGAGTTTTCAGCGTCTGGGAGAAAAATCTCCTTATCTCTCAGTGGCCTTAGTTCCCTTGCTCCACCTAAGCCTGAAACAATGACAGGGTGGTGCAGCTCGGTACTGAGAAGTGCGGATTTCCCGGGGTGATCAGGCCTAAGAAAGAACATGTAAATTACTGTGAAACCTCCTTTGTTTAGAATGCTCTCAGTTGAATGAGAAGGGTCTTAGGAGGAAGTTAGTTTGTTCCTCAGTCTTACAGCTCTTTGACCCCAACTCAATAGACCGGCAGAGTTCTTTGTTTTCTATAGTTCCTTACTTCCCCTAATGAGTACTGTACTTTACCTGAATTATTATGCAAAATGAGCCTAATAAAAGCAGGTATGGACTGTAAATCGGCGCGCTCCCCACTAGGGGGGTGGCCATTTCGTCCCTACTTCCCCACAGAAACTAGTTTGTCTCTGTGCATGTTGTTTTTTCTCGCGTGTTTATCGTCGAGCCATCCACAGTGTTCCGTGGTCACTGCTGGCCGGTGACCCACGCGCAACAAGTAGGGCCCCAGGGGAAGCACCTCACATACATGTTCACATTTCAGCCTTGCATCCACCCTCGGAGGGCAGTACTGTCACCAGCCCCGATTTTGCCGATGCTGAAACCAGTCCCCCAGTCAGACAGCTAGTAAGTAGTGGGACAGGGCTACTCTGCTGCTGTCCAGAAAAATCTCCCTCTTCTCCAAAGTCAGTTAATCAGATACAGCTACCAGGGCCGGACCCTGCAAACAAAGGGGTTAATGGTACCTTCTTCCCTTTTACTTGGACCCCCACGGCCACCCAAGCACCCAGTGCCATAGTACCCACCCACCACTACCACTGCGAACAGTTCCAAGATTTTCTTGAGAATATCTCCAGAGGAGAACCCCTTCCCCACCCAGAAAGAGTGATGTTTATCAGAAAGGTGGGAATGTGTCACAGAACATTTTAGTGAATGACAGCAAGGAGGAGAAGGCAGAGGGAAGGGGAAGAGATGTTGAAATGCACAGAGATGAGGGCCTGCTGCCCCCAGGCCGGTGGGGTTTTATCCCACTACCTGGGCACTGCAGACTCGAGAGAAGGGACAGAGGGGGGCACGGGCACTGTAATTCCTGGGCTGGTATTTGCCGTTGCCTTGACTGGACTAGACCGGACTGGGGTGCTGCAGCGGAAATCAGGGGGCATCCCACAGGCCTTGGTCTGGGCGGGAGACAAGCTGTTTCCCCCGCAGCTTCCGTGTTTGGCCATTTGAGGGGACGACACAGTCTCCTCTGCAGGGAGAAGACCTGGCTGCCACAGGAGCCTCCACTTAGACCGTGGGGGTCTGCCCGCACCACAGCACAAAAACTCGAGAGCCCCATGTGGCTCCTCAACGTCTCCAAGCGAGACCCAAACGGGAGCAGGCGGGCATAGAGGCCCGGTCTTACCTTGACTGCAATGGTGCCTCTCTTTTGCAGCTCGTACCCTCCCACTGCCCGCAGGCCGCCCGCAGTGCTCTGAGAGACGTGAATCCGGAGAGCTGCCAGAAACCGGTACTGTCTCGTTATTGCCCCGGCTGTGACCTCAGCACCGGGTCAGTGGGGCCGGGCGGCTGCGGAGCATGCGCTGCACTGCTCAAGTTCCCTCGGGGCCGGCCAGCCACAGGCAACCCCTCCGAAGTGCGGGACTCTCGGGCCGGGCCCCCAACCACCCCAGCGTGGCGCAGACACTGTCGGGTGCTGCTCACCCTGTGATACGTTCAGTGCAGAAGCAGAAATCAGAGCTGGCTCCATATGCAGGGGGGTCCCCCCATGGCTGGGCTCCCACTTTCAAAGTTTATCTGTAAAGTCTTTCCTTACAAACTCAAAGAGCGGTTTTATCAATGCAATGAAATTGCTGTAAAATAAGAGAATTTCTGCCCCCTGTTGTTCCTGGCCATAGGTTTCTTCACTATCACCCAAACTATATATATTTCAGAGACGGACAAAGGAGCACCCACAGGCCAGATCCAACCTGCCACCTGCGTTTACAAATAAAGGCGTGTTGGACCGTGGCCACACCCTTCCTTGACATATTGTAAATGGCTGCTTTCACACGCAGCAGCAGAAGCTAAGCACTAGCAACAGAGACTGTGGCCAGTAGGTCCTGAAATATTTATTGTCTGGCCCTGTACAGGAAAAGTGTGCCAAGCCCTGCTCTTCATTTACGCAATCTTATTCACCGTGCCTGACAGGTTAGGATGCGTGGTTTTGGAAGGAGGCAGCGTGTCTGCACGGCCCCTGGAGAGGACGGTGCAAACGCCCGTCGCCAAAGCCTGTGGTCAGCGTTGCCTGGAGTGGGTAACGATCTTACCCTGGAAATGAACACCAGCAGGCGGAATGCAAACGGGCCTTCTAAAAATACCCGCGGGCGAGAGATAGGGGACTGGAGGGACAGTGATACTGTGTCTGTAGAGGGCTGTAAGTGATACCCACACAGACTGCTGCTCTCCATCCGAGATGCCAAACAGGTAGTATCTGGGCATGGCGATGCCCACCACGCCAGCCACCACAGGGTCTGCCACAGGAGGGACCAAAGGGCAGAGACCAGTCCTGGACTCCGTGATACACAGCAAGTCGACAATGCAATTCAGTAAATATTTGTTAAGTGCCCTCATGGGGCCAAGCTTGGCAATAGATCGTAGGGTTTACAAAGAGGCAATCCACAGAACCCGCGGACTTCTGGTGGGGAATGATGTAATCAATCATCATGAACTGAATGTGTGTGTCCAACCCACATTCACGTGTTGAAGCCCTGACCCCCAGTACGGTGGTATGTGGAGGTGGGGCCGCTGGGAGGAAGTCAGGTTTAGAGGAGGTCGTGGGAGCGAGCCCCCACAGTGGGACTGGAGCCCTGATAAGGACAGGGAGAGACACCAGAGCTTCCTCTTTCCACCCTGTGAAGACATAGCCAGAGGCCACCACCTGCAACCTGGAAAGTGGTCCTTGCCAGACTCAGAACATGCTGGAATCCTGATCTTAGGCTTCCCAGCCTCCAGAACTGTGAGAAAAGTGTCTGCTGTTTAAGCCACCCAGTCCAGGGTGTGTTGTTATAACAACGGAGCTAGCTGAGACAGAAATGAATGACAATATCATTCCTGCACCGGAAATGTAAACAAAGCAGCGGCAGCAGCAGCAGCACAAACACAGACCTAATTCATTCTGACTGCGGTCCGGTTTAATCTTAGTTAAGTCATAGAGGACAGGTGGGAGCAGGTCCAGCAACATGATTTGCAGGACTCAGTCGAAAATGAAAATAAGGGACCCCTTCACTCAAAAATTATTAAGAATTTCAAGAGAGTGACAGAAGGCCATTAACCCAAGTGCAGGTCCCTTCTTCCCAAGTCTCACGCCCATGAGTTTGACAAAAACAGACCAGGTCAGAGGGCGCTGGATACAGAGGCACGGAGGAAAAGCAGCTCAGTAGAGCTCTCCTGGCGTGGGTCTCCTCCTCGTCTTTGGTTCACCTGGGGGTCTTTGTGATCCTGGTTGTTACCAAGCAATGTCACTAACTGAACATACACCTGGACCATGAGGCTAGCTAGCGGCTGTCTACCTGTGTGGAGGCCAGTCCGGAGCCTGAGCTTCTCCTGAGGCGTGTGCCCGGTCTGGAAGCGGATGGTGGCGCTGAGGAAGTGCAAGGACATTGTAGCAATCTCATCCACATGCCGGATTCCACTGTGGATGAGAAGTCCACGAGCCACCATGTATGCACCCCCAATGGTTTCCACCTGAAAATAAAGCAACAGTGTGGCCTTGTGCTCTTCATGAGGGTGGGGGCGGGTCAGAGATGGCGGTCCCTCATTGCTGACCCTCGCTTTGAGGCCCCAGACTCTGAAGGGTCATACTTCCTAAGCTCGGCTCCCTCCAAGTCCCAGCATTTTCTCAAGTGTGCTCTTGTCCCGGTTCTTCCACAAAGCCTTCCTGCCCCGAGCCCTCCTCCCCACAGTCACGGCTTCCTCCTCTGAAATCGGATACCGGTGGTGACCCTATTTTGCCAACCCAGGTTCAAAACCAGTTAGATGGGGTAAAGCTCAAAGGATCCCATAGATTCATCCAGTGGAACCCATCTAACCCAACTGAAATGCCTTCAGCCCACACAGGGCCCTTGTGCACATGTACATACATGTGTACATGTTATACAAAACACAAATGTTTGTACACAAGTATAATGTGTGCATCTGCCTAATCTACAGCTTTCAGTTGCCTCCTAATAAAACCAGCTGCCAGTTCCCCTCATTTACAACGCAGAATGCATGACACATCAAAGCCTAACATTCCACACAGCCCTTTCCAGGCCCATCTGCATTTTAGCAGAATCCACAGACAATGTGGTAAAGGTGGCATCTCAGGCTTTAGCAGGTGGTCTGACCACCTCCGTCCCCTGGGTACCATGAAATTATAGAGTCAAGTAGTGCACAAGCCGAAGGGCTTCTAGGCTGCCTCTCCGCACCACAAGCACATCCTTTAGAACACAAACTGACTTTAGATTCTCACGTGCAGAGCTCAGCTGAGCAGACGGCACTAGCAGCAGGAAACCCCAGGGGAGGCCTCCTGACCCAGACGGGTCCTGTTGTGGGGGGGTGTGATCTGCTCTTTGAGATTACCCATACCACCCTTTCCTTCCTCCTGCACAGAGGGAACATCTCTGAGGAACCCTGGAGGCCAATCACTGAGGACACGTCACTGAGGAACATGACTACACCGCCCCCTGAATCTCTCTGGCCCTGGGGCCACATCAGAGCGCTAGAATCATAGTCAGACTGGAGCTCTGTGGCGGCCCACCAGGCATGTGTGAACATGGGCCATGATCCGGCCTCGCCTGAAAAGTCAGAAACACAAGTGGCCATCATCAGCACCGCCTGAATGAAGGCACTTATTCGGTTTTTGTTGTTCTAGCCTGCCATCAGCTTTCTCCAGGTGACCTGCTCCTACACCCCCAGAGTAGCACCGGGCAGGGAGGGGGTTGGTGCCTCCCCTTTAGCTAGGAGTCTGAGAGTGGAAACGTGGGAAGCTATCTTCCTCTGAATTGCTAAGGATCGCAGTAACAGCAGCAAGACCCACACAAGGTCCAAAGACAACCTTTAAAGAAGAGTGAACCCCCCGAGTCTCTCTGAACCTGCAGGCAATATACTCAGGAGGGAAAGAGAGGGACTGGCCCAGTAGGTCAATGCCTCTCTTAGCAATGAGTTTACCGTGGGATGAAATAATGGAAGGAAACAGAAGAAACAACGGAGGCTTCTTGACAAGGACACACATCTGTGATTAATCAAGCCCTTTTCCAAGAAAACAAACAGGAAGAAAATACTGAGTTTCTGCCGTGAAAACAGACAGACTGCCGGCCGGAAGCGGAGCCCCTCTCCTGGCCGGCGTCTTGGACCAGAACGTCCTCCCTCCGCCCGCCAGGGGGCGGGGCTCACCTTGTACACACCGCGAAGTTTACCGATGCTATCGAATACACTGTAGAGGTCCTTAAGGAGCTTCACAACTTGCAAGGGGGAGCTGAGAGAACAGAGTGTCGTGAACCCAACAATGTCAGAGAAAAAGATGGTCACAGACTCAAAATGCTCAGGTTCCACGGCTCGTCCAGCCTTGAGCTGCTCTCAATGGAGCTGCAAGCAGAGAAAAGGATCGTTATTTAACAGTGTCACATTCATGGCGCCGACAGACCCCCCCCCCCCAAGTCACCCTGGTAGATCCTTTTGCTTCTTCAGTGGGTTAGGTTTTTGAGGAGCAAAATCCACCATCTAAAGGGGTTCTTTTGACACCTGTTTTTCCACCTGCATTTTGCCAAAAGAGACATTTTAATTGGGGTAGGGGTGGAACAGGTCACATACATGCCTTTACCAAAATATTTTTCTCCTGGAGGGTACTTTATTTTCCCCTGTGGTTACAGAGTTTGATTATAAAGACTCGGTCTGCAGATGTGGAAGCAAATGTAAGCATTCAGAAATCCATAAATCAATATTTTTACTTCAATCAACCAGGCTCACATTGACACATTGCAATCCTCGACCCCATTCCTTTGCTGGAGACACGTAGGAAGGTGCAGAAATTTTAACAGCATTGCTTCCTCCAAGGGTTTAGGGAGTGCACAGGTGAAAATAGAGTCCATAAGAAAGCAGGTTTTGAATCTAAAGTCATGGGTGTATATTGCATTGTGCCAAAGTTTGGAATATACAACTGAAATACCAGGAAGGTAGCAATTGACTGGATGCGTGGAACTAGATCGCCATCTAGTGGTCGCCCTCCTGTTGGTGCACCCACCATCCACCCCGTGAAAGACCTAGGTTCTCATCACCCCAAGTCAAGTCTCCCTTCCGTCACCATTTATCCTCCCTTGGCCCTCTGCCTTGAGGGGGTGAACACACAATGCAATAAATAGATGACTATTAAAAAACTGTCTCCAAAAACCCTCATTCTTAACTGGGACACTCAGTGCATGGATTTTGTAGTCATTTGACATACATGAATGAATGAACCGAAAGAAAAACATCTCATGTTGGGAGTTTGTAGGTAGCATGTATTTTAAAGACTGAGAGCATGAAGACTAAGCAAAGCAGCTCAAGTACATAAAAAAACACCTGACTGCAGATAAAAAGAAATAAATGAAAGTTACAGAAAAAATTAAAAACCACAAAATACAGGACCTACACTACCTATGGGCTCCAGGACCAGCGTCGCCACCTCCCTTTGCAGGGTGCACCGAACTCCACGCCAAGTGCCCGACCCATTTTAAAGGGCCCTGATGGGCTCTTGGAAAAAAGAACAAAGAAAATATTCTCTCCATTGGGAACCTCTTAGGAGGTGGTGCTGTTGCTTCCTGGGTCCTTTTGTGAAAAGCCCCGGTTCTCCGGAAAATCTGGGCAGGACTGTGGACAGGAGCTTATCCACCTTCCCCTTCTCCGCCATCAGCTGGTTGGTCCTCTCCTCCACCACCTCCTCCAGGTGCTGGCGTACACTTCCGGCTCGCTCACCATACTGTCTAGCATCTCATGTGGCTTTAAAAGAACCCAGACATTAACGGAGTTTTCCAGGAGCTTTAGGACCACAGTGGAGCACTGCTTCCAACCACACTTTCCAAGAGAATGACTGGCCCAGAAGGTCTCCCCTTTGCGGGTTGCCCACGGACAGCAGTGGAGGGGCGCTGGCAGTGAGGCCAGGTGGCAGGACAGAGCCTGCCCTTCCCCAGCTCCGTGACCTTGATCTGCGCCCTTTATTCCTCTGAACCTCGGTTTCTTCCTCTGGGCTGTGAGGACAATGATACATATCCTGCTGGGTTGTTCGAAGGATTTGGGGGGGATCCTGGCTACAGAGCACCCAGGGCCGTGTCTGGACCCCAGCAAGCAGTGGCCTGTGCTGGCCTCCCCCACTTCCCATCATGCTTCACACCACTATCGCAGCCAGTCAAAAATGTAGATTTTAGGACAGGTGATTATTTTCTTTTCACATGACAGACATAAAGGACACTTCTAGATCCTATAGACTCTTATTTCAGAAGGATCTTCAGAGAAATTTAAATTCCTCATCTTTCAGAAGAGGAGACTGAGGCTCGCATGGGAAATGCATTCACCTTGACATTGGGGACCACATTTTCCGGGTAAAATGTCAAGACATACCAACTGACCCAGCACATAGCATTTAAAAATATTCTAGGTGGGGAATGCAGAATGCAGGGCTGTTGTGTTGCGAGTGCAACATTGGGAGTAGACGCACAGGGCTTCCTCGACCGACTCGAGCTCCTTCTAGCACATCTGTGCCTTCCTATGGTCAGTGCGGCAAAAGACGATACAATCGTCCTGGTCTGAAGCAAGTTACTATTGCGAAAATGGGGAGGCATGAAAACTGTAACTCAATACCCTGCTTTAAGGTTGGCGTATGATCCATTATCGCATAGTCCGGTCCAGATTGTATCGTCCTGACCCTGCGGACAGTGGTTTGAAAAAGATTCTGAGGCCGGGTCACAGGTCACCCCAGGAATTGGCCTTGGCGGGTTAGCGATGTCTGGCGTGGACAAAGGAGGGCAACGGAAGTGTGCCCCATTTTCGTGACACTTGTGAAAAAAGGCAGAATTTATCAGTCCACTTTCACCAACACGTAGCACAGTGCTTTGCATGTGGTAGGGACTGAGTGAGCAGATGAGGGAGGGAGTCAGAACCACCCACAGCCAGTTTCCAAATTCTAACGGATAAATAGTTCGGAGGAAACATCTACCGCACACCTAACTCACCCTTCGGGGCTGGCGTCTCGTAGGATTCTCTTGATGGAACCGAACGGGGCCTCTTCTCCAGAGACGCATCCCAGCACGTCCTCACCAGAGCCGCGATCTTCTCACCGCCCTTCTCCTCCAACAGGGAGGGTCGGAGGGGGCCTGGAGCGTGGGGTCTCTGACTCCGCGGATGATTTCTGGAATTCGTGTTGGGTTGAGAGAGGCCAATGTCGGTACTTTGTGCCACTCAGTACACTTCACTTTAAACAGATGTGCTCCTGAATCTGTAAACTGCGTTTCCAAGTAGATTGAACAGATTAGAATTTCAGAGAAGTCTGAGTATTTTACAGTATCCTGAATCCTCCTGAAAAAATGAGGAATCTAAATGAAAATCATGTAAGTAACCCCTGATTAACCCCTTACTAGGGGTAAGTAACCCCTAGTTTTTCATTTTCTTTCTAATAAAACTTTTCTTAAAGTGAAGCATATCTCTGTATAATTTCAGAAGTGTACAAGCTATTTCATATTAGAAATCCCCAAAGTGCTATATACAATGTTGTGTTCTGTAAATGTTACATAAAAGACATTTTAACAAATAATAAATGTTACCTACGTGTCCTTACTATGTCCAACTGTGTAAACATGCTTCATTTTCTCACTGACTTCTACCAAAATGTATTAACTATTCTGCTTAACCAGGTTTCGTAAAGGAAATATTTCAAGAACCATGTACGTATGTTTTGGCATGGAAATACTGTAAGGTGCAACAATATGGATGAATCTCCAATGTGTATTATTAAGTATAAGAAGCTAGTCTGTAAAAGCTAGATCCTGTACAATTCTGTTTACATGATCTCCTGGGAAAGACAAAGTTACGGAGACAGAAAACAGATCGAAGGCGGCCAGGAGTCTGGGGAGGAGAAAGGGTTGAATCCGTGAAGAAGGACCAGAATTGTTCTCAGGGTGATGAAACTATTCTGTATAGTACTGTAATGGTCGATACAGAACACTACCTACTTGCCAAAGCCCATAGAACTTTGCAGCATGAAGAGTGAACCTGAAAGGCTGCTAATTTAAAGAGAATCTGTCAGCTGGGAGACTGGACGGTGCCAAGGCAGCATGCGGACTCACCACACAACAGCCTAACTGCATTACCCACGGGTGACAGAGCCTCACTGGAGGGGGCGCAGGTCGGGGAAGCGCTGACTCAAGAAGCTTCTGACATGACTGGAGAGGGTAAGACTGAAGATGAAAGGAACTGTTCACAATGACTACATTCCTGTTGGTGGGAAGGCGGCTCACGGGGCACAGATCAACAAGGCTTAGAGTGTTGCCCACGCATATCGGATTGAACAAGTCAGTAAATGGATGGAGGGAGCCAGGGCCTCTGCTGCAAAGGGAGGTTGTGGGTAAGCGATGGGGGAGACCAGAGGAAATGAATCGTGTGGTAATGACATTGGAGATGTCAGCATGAGCTCGCGGTCAGCTTAATATGAATACAGCTGGGTAGATATAGGTATACTTGCACATATACATGCAAGTTAGTATACACGTACATCAGAAACCCCTGGCAGGCGGCTTGTTAAAACACAGACTCCAGACCCACCTCCACAGTTTCCACATCGCAAGTTCTAGATCGGGGCCTGAAAATGCGCATTTCTAACAAGTCCCCAGATGATGCAGCTGCTGCTGTGGGTCCAGGGACCACACCGGTGCTTCACCAGCTGGGGCTTTTCGGCACCTCCTGGGAACCTGACATAAATGCAAACACTCAGCTTCCACCCCAGACCTACTGAGTCAGAAACCCTGAGTGTGGGGCCCAGAGTTCTGTTTTAACAAACCAGGCAACACTGATGCCCACCAGCGTCTGAGAGCCTCTGGTCTAGTGTGCATGAAGAGTCATTACTTATTCAGCTCCCAGCACACGGGATGATCTGTAGGGAAGGATGAGAAGTTATAATGGCAGGAGTGTGTTGGTCCATAAAGGAGGCACATGCTGTACTTTTCCTGGTTGCAGTCCTGTGTATACACACGCCCATGTGGCCGGCTCTCATTTAACTTTAGGAGCAGAGGACTACCCTAGGAGGAAGTATCCCTCCTGTCCTCAGCCTTCTTACCCCCACCCCGGCAGGGACAGGGGGAGGGCAGCTGAGCTGAGCACGGTAGGCGGGCTCCCCCTGGGCTCAGCCTGGGAAGACCTGTGCAGCTGCTTGTTTCCCAAGTCAGATGCACCTGGATCTTGGATTAACCTTTTTGGATTAGTCTCCCCTCTGCTTCATTTTGCCATAAATTAGAAGCTGGAATCTCCTTCCGAAGCAACTGCATACATTCAGAAAGCCTCCTGACTTGAGAAAGGCTCCCAGGAATGCATGGTGATCTAAAGATGCGACTTGAGTGAGGCCATTGGGGATGGACTGCAGACGGCAGGCAAGGAGGAAAAAAGGAAAAACAAATCAGAGAGGAAGCTGGGCTTGGTGTCCACAGAAACTCACACGTGCGGGTGTGCGCACACACACACACACACATGCACGTCCCTATCGTCCCCCCCAAGACAGCGTTCTGGGCCTGGGTGGCAGGTTGGCATCACCTGGGGGCTTTAACACCCTGCTTCCCGGGCAGGCGCCAGAGCCCCTGGGGCAGAGAGCCGGGCACCAGTAGTCACCCAGGCTCCCCGTGTAATTCCAATGTGCAGCCAGGGTGCAAAATAACAACAGTTCCAAGGGGTTACATTTTTCCAATCTTGATCAAATTTCCTCCGTTTCCTACCAATTTTACCCTTAATTTCTCTGGTGGAATGTGTTGAGATAACCTACCCACCCCCCCCCCAACAAAAAAGCCTGAATATACCCTTTGTGTACAACTGGGCAGTATTTACCAAAAAAAAATTAAATATGTTTTAAATGCATTTATTTATTCACACTCATGGACAGACATCTATCCTGAAGAAACATTCACATATGTCCACAAAGGTTCAAGGATGCTCATCGCAGCAATTTGTAACAGCAAAAAAATGGCTAAGAACTGAGATGTGTATCAATCAACAATATATGGCACATCCCTACGATGAAAAATTGTGTAGTCTTTAAGAAAGAATGAGGCAAATTTGCATATGCAAATATAAGGCAAGAGATACTCGGGCAGAGGGAACAGCATGTGCAAAGGCTCTTGGGCGAAAGTACGTCAGGCACGCGGAGGCCCAGGAGCTCGGCTGGTGCGATTGAAAGGAAAAGCGTGGGAGGGAGGTGGACTTAGGAAGGGGTAGTGGGCTGAATGGTGGTCCCCAAAGACACCTGGCCGTGTTCTAAGCCCCAGAACCTGGGACTGCGACCTTATTTGAGAAAAAAAAATAGATCTTTGCAAATATAATTGTCTTGGATTGAGGAGATCATCTTGGATTATCCAGGGGGACCCTAATCCGATGGCAAGTGTCCTTATAGGGGGCAGGCAGCAGAGAGAGACTTCGAGGAGGGGTCCATGTGGAGACGGGGGCAGACTGGAGCCAAGTGGCCTCCAGCCCACGAAGGCAGGTGGCCACCAAACACTGGAAGGAGCAAGGATGGATCGACCCTTGAGCTTCCAGAGGAAGCACAACCCTGCTGAACCTTGAGTTTGGATGTCTAGCCTCTGGAACAATGAGAGAATAAATTTCTGTGTCTCAAGCCAGGCTGTAAGCTTGTGGGAATTTATTATGGTGGCCCTGGGACACAAACGTAGGTCACCCAGGCTGGCTTAGAGGCGTCTGGCGGTCGTGCAGGCCATTGTCGGGGCTTAGTGTTCACTCTGCAGAGGGGAAGCCAGGGAAGGATATTGTGTGGAGCAGCAGCACAATGTTACACATTTTTTAAGTAATTCTGAGTTCCTTGATTTTCAAAATCAAATTGCAATTGTTTTCTAATTCTTGTAAAAAATGAGCCCTGGCTGGCGTAGCTCAGTGGATTGAGCTCGGACTGTGAACCAAAGTGTCGCAGGTTCGATTCCCAGTCACACATGCCTGGGTTGTAGGCCATGACTCCTAGCAACCGCATATTGATGTTTCTCTCTTTCTCTCTCTATCTCCGTCCCTTCACTCTCTAAAAATAAAGAAATAAATAAAATCTTTAAAAAATGAATTAAAAAATAAGTGCAATAAAGTGTAAATTAATACACATCTAATAAAACAATCAATAAAACAAGCCTTTACAAACTAACCCTGACAACCAAAGCCTGCCCAGCACACGCTCCCCGCCTCACCATCCGGTGTCTCATCAAGGTCATCGAAAGGCCAGCGGTCATGCTGGTGAATCAGCTCCCTCATCAGAATGGCAAAGCTGTAAACGTCTCCCTTGGGGGTGCCCGACCGGGCGCCTCTGGGGGCCGCAGCAGCTCTGGGGCGGCCCAATAGAGCTCTGCAAAGCAGCGAGACGATGGCCTGCAGTGAGGGGGCTTCCGGGAAGAACCAGAAAGCCACCCTGAAAGCATCTAGCCCCTGAGAAGTCAGCCCCCAGGGAGCCTGACTTCAAGGGCGACGAGGGGTCCGAGTGTGTGACTACAGAGAAAATAACCAGGAAGAACGGGCACTACCAGGTTAACAGGCTAACAGGTTAACTCATGGCTCTGCAGTGACAGGTGTTTTTCTTGTTCTTTTCTGTTTCTGAATTGCTTACATGACATAAAATGAGTCAGTTTAAAATGAACAATTTAGTGGCATTTGGTACATTCACGATGCTGTGTAACCACCACCTCTATCCAGTTCCGAAACATCTCCATCACCCGAAGTAAAACCCCGTGCCCATGAAGCAGTTTCTCCCTCCTCCTCCTCTCTATCCCCAGTCCCTGAAAACCACCAGTCTCCAGATTTACCTATTCTGAATATTTTACGCACTTACCTTTATTTGCAATGAGGTGTATAGGTTTATATTTTATAGGTTATAATTATTAAAACAAAATATATCAGAAGATGGAGAAGTAGGACCTGGCAGGTCTTTGAATTGCCCCATGTCTTCCTCTGGAGGACACATCCTACCCCCTGTTACAGAACCTCCCACACACGCTCAGCAGAGCTGCTGGCCACGTGCTGCTCCAGGGAGAGGGGGTCGGCCACGTGCTGCTCCAGGGAGAGGGGGTCGGCCACGTGCTGCTCCAGGGAGAGGGGGTCGGCCACGTGCTGCTCCAGGGAGAGGGGGTCAGCGCTGAGGGCTCTGGGCTCAACAGGGCCTGGTCACGTGCGGGGTGAGACTCAAGAGCACTCAGCTAACTCTGGACATGCAGGAAGAGTGCCCGAGCCTCAGCCGCTCTCATGAGAAGGAGGGGTGGACTCCGACGGTGGGTCTTACCAGAACCACCTGGGAGCTCTTAAAAACACTACGATGCCCAGGCCCCACCTTCTGACGCAGTGGATGTTGGGTGGGACCCAGTCCCTAAGTATTTTTTTTTTTAATTGTTCAAGTACAGTTGTCTGCCCTACATATTTTTAAAAGCTTCCCAAGTGATACGGAAACACAGAGAGAACAGAGAACTGCTAAACTCTTCATCCTCAAAGTGCGTGGCGGATCGTCACTCCACGCTGAGAGGGCAGGAAGATGTGATGGGACAGAGAGGACTACAGACAAGGACAGCGGCTCGTTTCAGGTCGCCCAGCTGAGCTGGGACCACGGCTAGTTCTCCCAACTCAGACATCACCCCAGCGGCCCCTGCCATCTGTTCTCGTCGCCCTGGGCGAGCAGAGCAGCCCCACGCCGCCGGCTCCAAAGGAAGGTGCCCACGAGCGTCAGGAGGCGGAAGTGGGGCAAGGAGCCTCCTTACCACTCTGTCCATAGCTAGTGGGTCCAAGACCTGCCCGTGGTTACCTGAGTGGTCCGCCGTTTTCTCATAGGTTCCATATGTCTGGCCATACTTGAGCTCCCACAGCCCAAACCCCGACAGCTTCACCTGCATCCGACCGTCCACCAGGCAGCTGGAAGGCTTCAGGTTTCCATGGGACCTCAGTGGGCTCCTATGAAGGAACAGCATGCCCTGGGAGGGTGCAGACGAGCAAGTGAATCAGAGCAGGTGCCGGTGGACACCAGGGGAAGCGGAGACGGGCGGAAAGGAACACAGACGCACAGACCCAGGGTGGGCGGTGTAGCTACTCTGTTCATTTGTCCAAGAATCACTGGCACAGCCCCTCCCCTAAGAAGTCAACCAGGTCACAGACGCTCAAAGAGAAGAAAACAATGTCTAGTCCCTCACTGTGGAACCATGAAGGCAAGACCATCTTCAAACAAATACAGCCTAGTGGCCAGGCTCCTGAGTTCAAATCCCAGCTCTACCACTCAGGAGAGGGCATGTTACCTTATCTCAGTCAGCCTCAGTCTTCTTGTTAAAATGGCAATGGCAATGAACCCTACTCCACAGGGCGGCTGTGGAAATTAGATGTGATAAAGCACATGAGACAGCAGACATGGAGCATGACACAAAGTAAATATCCACTTCAATGATAATGAAATGTGTGTAAATACGATAAAGAATATGTAACTAATTGGAAATGCTTACCAAGGGAAGTGAGTCAGAAAGGCAATGATATAGTAGCCAAGACCTGGAAACAACCTGGGTGTCCCTCAGTGAATGACGGGATAAAGAAGATGTGGCCCGTGTATATAACGGGATACTACTCAGCCATAGAACATGAAATATGCCATTTGTGAGAACACGGATGGATCTTGAGAGTATCACATTAAGTGAAATAAGTCAGACAGAGAAGGACAAGACCCAGGTGCTCCCGCTCGTATGTGGGATGTAAAATAGAAAGCAACGAATGAACGAACAAACTCACAGACACCGACACCAGTACGTATGACGGTGACCAGAGGGAAAGGAGGCGGGGGTAAGACAAAGAGGGTAAAGGGGGTCGAATACATGGGGACGGAGGGAGACCGGACTTTGGGTAGTGAACCCCCAATGCAGTATACAGACGATGTGTTATAAAACTGCACATCTGAAACTTACATAGTGTTATTAAACGGCGTCACCCCCAAAAACTTAATTTTTAAACAGAAAGGCAGTGATAGTTCTCCCTCAGCAAGGGGGGGGTGGAGTGCGGAGGCAGTGGGGGGGGTCTTCCCATGGGCGGAGAAGGGTTGGAAGAAAAGCCTGGAGGAAAAGCCTGGAGTCGGGGAGGGAAACCATGGCTTGGGAAGGCCGGGGAGACAGAGAGATCAGGTTGGAAAATGAGAACTGTCGTGTCTGAAACACGAGCCAGGAGGCGGACGTTTGCATTTCCCTGGTGTTTCCAAGGGCGGACCTGGGAGTGGGGACGCAGAGGCTAAGGGAAAATGACCAACTGCAGTTCAGAAGCCAACCCCAACTGCTGGGAGATAGAGGGAGATAGAGGGTTTTCATTTCCTTACCTTCCTCAACGGCCTGATGAGAAAGCCAGTTTCTAGGACTCACAATACTGACATCAAGTCCCTCTACATCTTTAATCTGAATCTCTGAATCATTTATTTTCAGAGTATTTTGTTTGGGAACTAGCAGAGGACCGACAGCCTCAGCACGTCACAGGTACAGGGCTGTCGCAGAGCCGATGAACCTGCGTCAGCCCAGGGCACCTCCTCACACCTGCCTCAGCCTAGAGGTTTCGGAGGAACAGTGAAATGACAGTGCCCTTTCTCAAGGCTTTTACCAGGTCTGTTTTGTTGTTGTTGTTGTTTTGTATTGTTTTGTTTTAGGTTTAGAGTGCTAACCATATGCCAGGTAGCATCCTAAGTCCCTTACTTCACCTAGCTCATGTAACCCCTAGGGACTCTCGCAGGCGGGCGATCCTCTCGTCAACCTCATTTTACGGATGGGAAAAGGGAGAAATGACCTTGGCCCAGGTCACACAGCCAGCCGGCAGTGGAGCTGGACTGGGCATTCTGCAGTGTGACTCCCAAGTCCAGGCCCCTGACCAACTGCTCCTTTGCTGATTAAAAAAAAAAAGCCTATGGAGGGTAGAGAGTGAGAAGTGATTACTTCATTTTAGCCACAAGGCTCCATGGACATCCAGAGTGCAATGTGGATTTGTGATGAGCAGACAGGTAACCCTAAGCCTTTCTTTGGAGATACTCTGAAATGTGCACGGAAGTCCTGGGAACAGTGTACCTTATACATCACATCCCACTTAGCCTTTTCTGAGTAGGTTAATATTCTCCTCCTTTGTTTCATAATGAGGAAACTTAGGGTCTTAAACGGCTCCCAAGGAGTGGGGACAGAGCTGGGATACGAACCCAGACTGGGCTGCCTGCGAAGCCCAGCTTCTTCGAAACCACTGGATTTTGCCATGTCCAGCACCCTGGGTGATTGTAGAGGAAGAGGAGGCTGGGTCAAAGGGCATCTGATTCTCCTAACAGCCTTATGCAAGAACAGCCAGGTTCAAATGAATCTCAAGCCCAGCGGAGAAGGGGGAAGGTCGCCCATGGGCGTGGCCACGAGGAAGCACTGGCCGTCCATGTTCCAGCAAGGAGGAAGGTGTGGAGGGCTCCCGAATGGACTGCTGCACCCAGAGACGGGGTCCTTGGGCCTCCTGGGCACCAGCTCAGGGACTCGCCTCTTCCTCAGTGATGATGCCAGGCTGAGTCACAGGCTGGGCAGGAGCCCTCAGCCAATACTGCCTTAGAAATACAGGCGAATGCAGAAAGCAATAAGGAAACTTATAGGACAGAGAACACACTGACGTTGCCCTTACCCCCCAAATCAAGAGGCTGCATTCCTTCATCGGCGTGGCTTGTTTTTGTGAGAAAATATAGGTGAATCACATTTGGGACACGCAACCCGCTCAGCTGGACCTGGAAGGGCCTAGCTAGAGTTCTCCGGAGCTCCTCCAGGCACTCACTGTCCAGGTCGGGGCTTGAAATCTGGGGAGCCCTGTGTCCCATCCAGAGTTCTCGCAGACCTCACAGAGACCTCGCCATGCACCAGGACTGCCCCTGACACCCACGACTGTCCCTTGCCTCACTACTGCCAGGCCAACCCCGGGCATGAGACATTTTACATTCCGGTCGCCACCGATCCCCCCTGACGTCAGGGATATTAGTAGAGCTCTTTCCACAGGGCATAAACCACCTGTTGGGCATACTCAGAATCCTAGGTCTGTAGTCCTCTCCGGGAGACAGCACATACCTCTCTGGTGTGGTGGTTGTTCTTCCAGCTTGACAGAAATGCATGAGTGCATGCACATTGTCGGAGAACAAACTGAACGATGAGAGGTGCACGATTTATGTGCCAGGTGTTATGCGTTTGGTGATTCTGTCACCTACCTGCCCGCTAGTTACATTTATTTTCCTGTTGGAAAGTTGGGGGCAGGGGGTCCAGGGCTCCTGTCTCTGGGTCCCACGTCTGTGCTCTCTGGTAGTTGATGGGGAGGAAATGCAGCCCAGCCCAGCTCTACAGACAGACGGACTGCAAGCCCCATCTGCCTCCCACCAGCTGGGCAGGTTACGTTACCCAGCTCAGTCTCACACTTTCCCTATGAGAGGGAGTGAATATTATATTAATATTGGAGTTGATGAATTAATAAGTTCATTGTGAATTACTCAGAGCACCGTCCACTTGAAATATAATACAAACCACTGGTACAATTTTAACTTTCTCATTAAACAGGTAGAATTATGCTCAATAACATAGCTTATTTAACCCAATGTATTAACATATTATCATTTAACATGTAACCAACATAAAAATATTATATAATTTATTTTTTTTCCTAAGTCTTTGAAATCTGGCATCTATTTTATACATAGAGCACATCTCATTTGGATGAGTCACATTGCCAGGGTTCAATGGTCACATGGGGCTGGTGGCTGCTATATCCGGACAGTGCAGGCTTATCCCACAGGGATAAGATAAGAAAGTGCATGTTTTTTAGTACTAGTAATGGAGTTATCTGTGGCAACAGTAACAGTACTCGCCCTACCAATGCTGACAACATTCAGTGGATGCCTTTAATGAAGTAGGCGTGGTTCTAACCATTTTACGTACTTTCATCCTCACAATGCTGTGAGGTAGGTACTCCTGTTACCTGTATTTTATTCACAGGGACACCAAAGCTCAGGGTGGTTAAGGTCACCTGGTCAGTAAGTAGCAGAGCCAGGCTAAAACCCCCTAGACAACTTCTATGTCAACTGCCCTTCTTCCTCTTAATCCATCAAGACTCCTCTTCCTTGGAAATGGAGACCCATCTCTCACTTAAGACTATTATATCTCCAAAGCTCCTTCCCCAGATGGCTGGTCTCCTTGGGGACAGAACAAGGAGCCTTACTCCTCTGAGCCCTCCTTGACCAGAATCACGTTTGACCAAAATCAGGTGTTCAATCAATACACTTCCATTATTTTGAAAAGTCTGTGGCATCTCGGCATCTCTCTGATACCTGGTGTGGAGGAGGTTCCGGTCAAATGGGCCCCAGGAGAGAAGCTGTTCTTATGGTTGGTCTGTGGTGGCCAGAGGCACAATCTGACCCCAGGGCTCGGCCCAGTGCCTGGCTTCCTGTCAAAGTCACCCATGGTAAAGCTCTAAGAAATCACCTGAAGTCCCCTTTCAAGGAATGCTGGCACAGTAATGGGTCTTGAAGGGCCTCAACGTGCCTTAGCCTAGCTCACTGTGACTTCCTTACACAGTTCCATCGTGTGCATGCTTCATTTCAAGAAAAAGTGATCCTTCCAAAACAAGGTTCCAAGTTGTCGTTCTGGCATAGAGTAAGGGACAGACTCAGTGACCTAGAGTAGCTGACGTCACTCAGGAGATTCCCCCCTTTTTCTTTTTTTTTCTTTTTTTTAAGATTTTATTTATTTTAATTTTTAGAGAGGGAGGGGAAGGAGAAAGAGAGAGAGAGAGAGAGAGAAACATCAATGTGCGGTTGCTGGGGGCTGTGGCCTGCAACCCAGGCATGTGCCCTTACTGGGAATCAAACCTGCGACACTGGTTCGCAGCCCGCACTCAATCCACTGAGCTACGCCAGACAGGGCTGAGATTTCCCCCCTTTAATTATCATTCTCACCCACCCCAGCATTACTCCAGAGAAACTTTTGGCTTAATGCTTCTTAATAGACAAATGCCCAAACTGAAAAGGCTAAATCTATTGGGCATTCCCACCTTGGGGAGAATTCACTAGCTTTCTCTTCACATCCAATAGAAATGATGTCTGCTCTTTTCAATGGGGCAAGAGACAGATCGTTGGAAGTCTGGAGTACTTCCCTGGGCTTGCAGGGCAGGGAAGGGAGGGAGATCAGAGCAGAGTAGGAGAGGATGCCACGTCACAGTCTATTTCAGAACTGTGCCACTGCCACTTCAATCATTTTATATGTCCATTTCCTGACAATTTTTTTTCTCTAGCTAGATTTTAAGCCATTTAAACTTAGAAACAAGTCCTTGTCTTTCTGCCAAAGTGCCCAGAGTAAGATAAATCATTAACAGATGCTCAGTGGAGTTTACCGAAATAACAGTATTGGCTCAGTGTCATCCAAAGAGACCCAATCACAAGACGGTTTCTGTCTAAATTACTTCCCCTTAAGGCCTAGGAAGTCAAAGTCTCACAAGGCCGTCAAGACTCAGCTTCTTAGAAATGAAGAGCAATTAAGTCTTCAAGAAAGACCAGCCTTTAGATATCAACAGGCCAACATCATCCATTCACCTACACGGAGGCTGAGGTCCACAGAGGAGACCGAAAGTCAAAGTCACTCAGTGAGTCACTGGCCCTATACTCCCAAAGGGCAGAGCTTCTGTTTCACCTTTGCATCCCTCCCAACACGCAGGCTGGGTCTTGCCCACAGGAGTCTACTGGTTGATGAATGGACTGTTGATTGACAGATGGTACCAGCCCTGATTGTTGTCACACTGAGGGGCTTCCTCACCAGAACCCAACCCAAGGACTGGCCCTCCCTGCTATGGTGAAAACAGATGCAGTGAGTTTAGAAAGGTCAGCTGCATTTTAGCCCAGGTTGAAGAGATCAGCCTCAGGTCCACACGGACATGGCCCTACTGACTTACCTCCCACCTGTGAAATGGGGCTAACAATAGATCTACCTTATATGTTGTTGTGAAAATTGAGTAAATTAATATATAGAGGTACTGGAAAGTCTTGGGGCCAAAGTAAATATATTTTAGCTATTACTATTATTACTATCCACTTTTTAAACTGCCACCACAGGCCTCTTTGCCCAAAGCAAAGATTCTGCCTGCTTATTTAAATCTGCAGCGCTATATTGCTGTGTGACAGCCTTGCTGGTACTGTGGCTCTGATCCCCACTTTCTGGGAAAGGAACAAAGGACCCGGGAAAAAGAAGGAGTATTCGGAATCCTCTCTCCAGTTGCTTTATGGTCTAGTAATTAGATTTTCTTTTGAGTACAAACCTCTGTTCTGAAATGGAAATACCATGATTTCCTGATTGGGTAAACCTAGCCTCCCTTCCAACAAATGATACAAAATACTTTACTCTGTTGATATTTACCTAAGATCAAGGGGAGAGAAAAGAATGGAAAATCTGACTGAAGTGGTATATATTTTTTTTTGAAGTGGTAGATTGTAGTAGTGGGATCACTTTGTTCAAAGAAGAGATCTGAGAAGGACCAGAATTTTCGGGAAAATTCTGGCTTGATTTAATACACAACACAAAACAATTCAAAAACACTATGGTGTTTGTTCTTTAAAATAGTTTATGTCATACTCACATTGACTATGTCCTATGCAAATGAGAGCTTGAATATCCAATCCATTTCAGTATCAGAATTTCGCAAAACATCCTGAAAAGCACAGTTATTGAAAACAGCACCAGTGATTCAACCTGAAGCACAGTGAGCGCCATATGTTCAACGGCTTTGGTTCTGAAACACTGGATGGTTTTGATCAGAATGAATACAACCCAAGACAGAGATGAAAAAATTTTAGGAAATATCGTAATCTGACTCAATGTTGAGGAAGTTACAGTCTTGAGATTTACAAACACATCCTTGTTCCTGACATAAAGTGGATGGTCACCTACCATGGGCAGGGTGGGCCCAGCAATGCAGTTTAGGGAGGGGTAGCTGTGACCGCTAAGGAGCTGAAACCAAGCTCAGCCGCTTTCCATCCAGAACAAAGGAAACCGGACACTCAGCCACTCCACTGCTAATCTGATCCCCTGCAGGCAACCCAACAGGACAATTCAGGTCTTGCCATTAGACCAGAGGAACTGTTCTCGGACCAAGGGGCAAAAGCGTTGATAAGGCTCTTCACCAGCTGCAGCTAATCAAACCTAAGGTAAGATTTGCTATTTTACTTACCTTAAGACTTCCTTTTTTGCAATACTGAGTGACAATGCAAACACCAAAGAAGGGAACAATGTTTTCATGCCTCAATTCATACACCTGAAAATAATAACGGTAATAACAGCATAAGATTATAGTATGTCTTCTGTGCTAGGGACTATACTATGTGCTTTATAGACTTTCAGTTAATTCTCCCAAAGACCCTGTGAGGTAAGAACTTTAACTGCTCCCATTTTACAGATGAGGAAACTGATGTCCAAAAGCTAAAGTAACATGTTGAAGATCTTACCACTTGTTAATGGCAGAACGGGAAGCAAATCCAGACAGTCAGCCTCTGGCATATAAACAAGAGGAAGGTCAAAGTCTGACCTTAGCTACAGGGATTAATTAAAATCACGTCATAGTAAATAGAACCAGCCCTGCCTCCTGGTGTTTATAGCCTCAACGCCACTGTGTGGGCCATAACAGATCACAGATTCGGAGCAAGAAGTCAGACCCCATGAACCTGACTTCCTCTGAGGACCAGGTTTAAGGGAGGTGAGCAGCCATCACAGATAGGAAGACTAAAGATGCAGAATTAAGGCCAAGAAGAATTAAGGGAAATGAGCAAGGTTAGGAGGTATCCCAGGCCTCAGGTGCCAGAGTCAGGCCAAAAAGTCTGAGTTCTAAAGCTGGGGCTGTGGTGGGGCTACGGATGGTGAACCAAGTTAAGAGAAGCTGCTTTCCACCCATGCTCCTGTGGACTGGGGCCCTCCCAGGCCAGGTGGGAATGGGGAGCTGGCAATGAGGGCCAAAGAACGGTGATGCTTTGTCTCCTCCCAGGGCAGGGACCCCACCAGCTGGATTTCCTGCAGCACAGATGGCTTCCGGATCCAGGCTTCTGCTTGGTCACCAACATAGCAGATGGCCACATGGTTTCCCTAGAACCAGAGACAAAGTGAAACGTTCTTAACCCAAGGTGATCCAGAAAAAGCTCTATTCAGAAAGAGCTAGGAAGGGGAGCAGGAGGACAGGGAAGAAGTCGGCCTATGAAAAGGATCATCAAGCTCCTCACTGCCCAAATCAGCCCTAGGATGGCACTGTGCTACCCTGGGCACTGAGCTAGGTGCTCAACACATAAGGTGCAATTTAACAGACATCACAGTCCTGCAAGGTGGGAATGATTGGCCCATTCCCGGATGGGATCACTGAGGCTAGGTAACTTGTCCAAGGTCACAAATTTGTGGGCAGTACAGCCAGAACTGGAACGTCCCATCATCATTCAGAGGAATTTGGAGTTAAGGTCATAAAAGTAAGTCTGGAGTCAGATACCTGGTCCAAAAACCATTCCTCCCACTTACTACCAACATAACCTTGAACAAGGGATTTAACCTCTCCCAGCCTCCATATCCTCATCTGTACAATGGAGATTAAAAATAATACTGATCCCATAGTATTATTACAAGGATTAAATCTTAAAATATGTTAACACTTGTTAACTAAATGCCTGACGCATAGCAAGTTTTCAGTAAATGGCATATCTTATTGTTATTACCTATTGAGTCTGCTTTTAGAGAGTCACTTAATCAATCACCACAAAAATACACCATAAGCTGGAACGACCTGGGTAGAAGAAGAGATAGCATCTGGACACAAGAGAAGGTAAGGCTCAGTGTGAATTAAGTGTGCCACTTTTACCATGGGCACACTTTTGCTATGGGATTAGCAAGATCTGCCACTTTTACTATGGGATTAATTGCAAAGAACTCAGGACTGTGATGGGAGTTCCAAGGGGGAAAGGATCCCTGTGGGATGAAGGAAAGGCTCCTTGGAAGAGGTGATGCTTAAGCTGAACCTCGAAGGATAAGAAGGTGCCAGTTGGGGTGGGGGAGGGGGCAGCAGGTGTGGTATTGCCTGACAGTGAAACATACAAGGCATAATCAACAAGACCAACTGGATGAGTACAGGATGGTGGTCAAGAAGAAAAGAAAAAAGGTTCTGAAAGTAGACTGGGGCTAGGCAGCAGAGAGCCTTGGGCCCCTTGTTGAAGGGTTTAGAAGCTTTCATACAGTCAACAGATATGGGGAACCCAGTGATGCATTTCAGGGAGAGGAGGGGAAACATTTCACGAAGATTAACCAATAATGGCATGCCACAGATCGCTGGCTTCCATCTCTAAATGGCTAGTGGACTGTGATGTATCAATAGTTTGATATGAATGGAGGCCCTCTGGGTTCTATGGGTGACAATATCCAAGGAGGTTTTTTTGTCATTTGAAAACTCAAGCAAACATGTAGAAAAATAGGTTTAGTTGCCTAGGAAATGATTTGGCTCCAATCTTTGCTAAACCCAATTTAAAGCAAGAACAAGTCTTCCCTCGCTTGGAGCTTTCTGCCCTTACTCTCTGGGATTTCCATTTCAAAGAATCGATAGAGATTTTTTTTTTCTTTACAAAATTTTCCTCCGGGGGACTTGACCTTCTTGCTAAACACAGACAGCCACCACAGCTGAGCGAGTGCAAAAAGAGGGTGAAGGAGGGGGGGGGCAGGCAGGAATTACACTGCAGGTCTCAGCAGGTACCAGTTTATACAGTAGAGGCATCAATACCCACAGCTGAACCATCAGTGCCAACATACCAAAAACGAAATAATGCATGCTCTAACACTCTACTGTCCGATAAGATAGATACTAGCCCCGTGTCGCCAATTAAATGAAAATTATATAAAATTTAAAAGTCAGTTCCCCAGTCACGCTAATGTTTAATAGTCACATGGTGGTAGTGGGTACCATCTTGGGCCGAGCAGATGTGGAATATGATCATAGTCATAGAAAGCAGATGAGTCTAATACAGAAGCCAGCCTAGGAATCACCTAGGAGTCCGTTAGGGAAAAGGCAGACTCTCAGGCCCCACCCCAGAGCTGCTGAAAGAGAATCTGCATTTCAGTGAGGGCCTCTGATGATTCACAGGCACGTTAAAGTGGAGAAACAGAGTCTGGAGTCAGAAGACTACCTGTTGTTTACTTGGAGAATGCTCTCCCATTCAGAATGCCTGCCTGGCAGAGGGCATGCAGAGAACGGGACAGAGACGCACACTTCACGCAGCCACCTTGCTCTCAGGAGTGTCCGGTAAAGGCCTGCTGGGGCATGAAAGAGCTCTTCCCACTGCTGACTCTTGACAAAGGAGCTGAAGTCCCCAGAAATCATCACACTAGGGACATTGCTGCTGTCCCCTCTCAACACAGGTGTGCCTCTCTGGGCCGGCTGTAAAACAGACACAATCCAGGTGCTCTCAGGAGTGAGCAAGTCATGAAGAGACTGCATTGTGTAGGTGAGGAAAATGAGTATCAAGGGAGAACCAGGACTCGAACCCTGATCTCTCTGACCAGAAGTATGACTGCCTAACTGCTACACATATCACTCTTGCATCCACACCACCACAGATAGTGTCATGGCTAAGCAGGCAGGCTCCGGGGTCAGACTACCCAAAGTCAAGTTCTGGCTCTGGCACTTAACTAGATGTACAATCCGATGCCAGAGTTATTTTCCCAAAGAGACATCTAACCATGTTACCTTTCTGTGTAATACACCCAGCACCTCCCCAACACCCAGGGGATGTCTTTAAAGCAAAGAAACTTTGCTTTTCAAGGAGACTTTTCCCATGATCCCTAATGTAGAAACCAGGGAGATCAGAGCTGCCTTGGTTGAAGAGAGAAGAGGAGGCTCAGCATTCCGCCCGTGACACCTATACCCTTAATGTGTTATTCACCCCTGAGCAGAGCAGTGAGCCCCAGAACCCTCGAGGACTTACTGATAAACCCCAGTCCCCTGCTCTTGGCACTTTGGAGCCTCCCTGACTTGGTACCTTCCAAGTCACCTTTTAAAAAATAATCATAACTCTTTTATTGAATAAGTAGTATATGTAAGAATGTCAATTAAAAAGAAACTAATTCTACAAACTACAGTTTGGAAAACAAAGTCAATATAACAGGAACAATATATACATATCATTAGAGGAATGTTTGATTTTGACCCATAATAGAGTCCTTATCTTTACAATGAACCTTAACATCTGTTAGAACAAAACTGCATTCCTTGGTCTAATTTTAGTACTTCTTATAAAAGCAACAACATTTTAGATAGAATACTCTCTTTTTTGCTTTGAGATATTTAGGATTTACACATCTGTTCTGATATGTAAATTCTAAGTAAACAGTAGCTAGATGAACCTTGTTAACCTCTTAATATCTTGAGTAGCACATACTGCTGAACAAGTTCTAGCTGAAATTGTAAACTTGCTGAACTTTTTTTTCTTATTGATTTTAGAGAGAGAGATAGAGAAAGAGAGGGGAGAAGAGATAGAGGAACATCTCTTTGTTGTTCTGCTTATCTGTGCATTCACTGGTTGATTCTTGTACGTGCCCTGACCAGGGATCAAACCCACAACCAACTGAGCTACCCAGCCAGGGCTGTAAAATTGCTGATCTTGGAGATAAAATTTATTTCAGTTTTGGGTTTTTAATAAATTGAGCTGAGAGTAAAATTGACCCCACCATCTCTGATCTCTGTCCCTCCCAGAACAAAAAGCCCTTATTAAAGAACAGAGCCTTAAGTCTATCTTTCTAGTCTAAAGAACATTTCTTACTAACATTTCTGGTTAGGCAATAAATGCTCCAGAATAATCAATACAGGCTTGCAAAGATGACAGTGTCTGATGTCACTAACAAAAATAAAAAGGACAGAAAGAAAAGACGTGAAAATTTCAAGCTAAAATATGCATAAAAGACCGTCATGGCGGTACTTTCGGAAATTATGTACATGTTATATCCTTACTAAATAATGTCGTGCTTATTAAACATACGCCAAGCCTCCCAGCGCCGTGCACCCCACGCCCTGGCATCCCCTGTGCTGCTACTTCTCTCCTGGTCACCACTAGCAAACCCACTGTCCCCAAGTGTCACCTCCTCTCTGACGCCTTTGCAATGCTGAGACATTGACTCCCTCCATCTGCAAGGTGCTGGTATCAGTGTGCAGGCACCTCTCGGAGCACGTGCCTCCCTCGGGGTGCATCTCATCTGCAGTGCACCCCATGCCTTGAGCTATGTTTGGCCGTAGTTGATGTGCAACACGTGTGTCCAGCAGATGAACCTTGTTGTCTTAGTCATCAGGGATTAAAGGAGTTACTGTGGTTTTGAAAATAACCAGATGCTTTCCAAAAACCTGCTTTCATACTTGGGCTTACACTGACAGGGTAGTGGAGCTGAAGGGAACTTCAGGGGCCACCTGATTATTCTAAGAATTCAGAAGCTGAGGCCCAGACCTCATGCTCCCTGAGATATTTATCAAGGAAGTGAAAGGCCTACAACTGGAACTCAGGGCTCAAGACTCTGCGTTAAGTGCTCACCTTATAAATGGGCCAGCCTGTGCCCTCCTAGATGAGGTCCCATCCACAAATCACCAGAAGTTAGCAGGAAAGTGGACATCTGGGCCGGGTGTGGCTTACCTTGTTCTTGGGCAGAATGGTGATGTCATCGTAATTGATCTGCCACCAAATGTCTCTCTTGCTTCTGCAGTGTTCCCTTCTGCATCCTTAAAATCAGACCTATGATGGCAGTTCCCAAGACACTAATCAGGAAGGTCAATGTGAGAATCATAGGAGTCACACCTGGAGGGCACAGACATATCATTCCTCAGGCCTGCCCAAGAGCAGAAGGGGAAACATCCCTGCCCCAGCCTGGCCCTGCCAAGCAGGGGCCCCAGAGGCCACCCAGACAAGGGGCCAAGTTAGGATGCACTGAGTCCCCCCAGTCTCGTCTCTTCCAGGAACGCCCTTCTGACCTGCCTCTGGGTCCCACGGCAACTGTACTCACTTCCCCCTCTGTACAGAAACTTTCATTGTAGAGAAATGATAGTGATGACTTCTAACACCGCCACCACGTTTTACTAAACACGTACTATGTGCTCTCCTTAGAGTTGTCTCTCAGGTATGATCCATCCAATTCCAGGGCTGCGCCCCTACCCATTGGGAACTACCTCCTTAGAAATGAAGTTCCTGAGCTTCAAATCTCAGGAGCTGGTTTCCCTAGGACAGAGGTTCTTGGCAGGGGGAGGCCTCCTAGGGGGTATTAGGAACATTTGGAGATATTTTGGGTGGTTACAACTAGAGGGTACCCCTGGAATCCAAGGGGAGGAGGCAGAGATGCTGTTAAGCAGCCTACAAGGCACAAGACAATCCACCCCCCGTCGCCAGACCAAGACTATCCCACCCAAGTTGTCAATAGTGCTGTTGCTATTGAGAAGCCCTGCCGTGGAGGACCCTCACCTGCCATCTGCCCCAGGTGCCCACACTGACCTGTAAAAGAGAGCTCACCTGCACAGAGCTCACCCTAAAACCCACAGCCGTGTCTGTCCACAGAGAGGGAGCCGTGGGGCCGAGTAATAGTGGAGACATTCCTCACCGGTCTTAAAACAAAAAGATGACAATTAGAAGTCAGTGCCCACCTGATTTAGTCTACTTGTTTCTGTCTCAGATATAGCAAGGGCAAATGAGACACACATGTCATTTGCAAAACGTAGGCCTTGGTCTCTTCATTCAACTGACCACTGCCCCATCCAATTTTCCCACCTCACCTAGACTCTTCAAATCTAGCCTTCAGGCAATTTAATTCAAGGGAAAGCAGTATCTTTTGGCAGGGTAGAAGAGCTGATTCAATCTTTTGATTTAAACCATGTCACTTCTGATTTCAACAATGCTGTGCCAATTCTCCAGTGTTGCTAAGACTTTCTCCCGTGTTTGATACAGACAAACCTTGTTATAGAGCACCCTGATATTTCACGGGCCAAAACATCGCCCCCTGCTCAGAGAACGCCTGTTTCTACAATCCCGAGGACCGAGTGTGCCATGGTTATTTTATTTCCTGAGCCAATCCAATCTGATCCATTAAAATTCCTTAAGAGTAGGAGAGGAAAAGTGTTAAATCAAATCTGGACTGGGGGTGGAGACAAGTAGCAATTGAATTAAGCTTTGAGCTTCCTTTAGTTTTCTCATTGGTTTATGGCTAAGAACAAGCACAGAGACTTTTTCCAGGGCTTCCTGAATGCTGGAAACCCAAGACAACACCCAGGTGGAGGAGAGAATAGGGCAGTGTGGGGATCAGGATGCCTGGAGGAGTCTGTTTCCCTGACTGTGCTCCCAACCTCTAGGTGGCGCTGTGTCATTCCCGCCCCTGCCCCACGCCCCTCCCACCCTAAAAGCCAGAGCCTCTCGGAGTGTGCTTTTCCCTGCTGGAGAATCAGAGGAGGTGCAGTTAGTAGGTTTTGCGTTTTAAACTGCAATCTAACGTGGCTCAGCCAACCCCACAATCATGGGCAAGATCACCTTCAAGGCCCAAAGCCAATCCTTATACTGAGTTCAGAGAGCACCAGAAAAAGGGATGGTGGATTCTAGGAGCTGGATCCCAAACTGCTCTTCCAGCCAGACGCCGGCCCTCCCTCTCCTTCTAGATCTCTTCCTGCAGCAGGATCTAAAGGCGAAGAAACGTCCCACCAGTACCTGATTCCCTTCTGACAGCTGTCATAATGAAGAACAGGAAGACAGAGTGACCCGTTCCTGGATTTCCGTAGGGCATAGACAGAGTAATCCGTACGCCTTTCTCCCTGGGAGTCCACAAACACTGGGCCAGTGATCCCTGGGGAGAGAGAGGATGATACACATGGTCAGGAAGACAGCGAGGGACCCGTGACTTGAACTCGTACCAGCAGAAGCCCCTCCCCATCAGCCACTTTGGGGAGGCAGATGTGAGCGAGGCCTAGGCTGGCGAGGTCCGTCCGGCTTTAAAGAAATAGTTTCCAACTAAAACCCAAGATTTATGCTTCCTTAGAACAATCAAATGTGACAAAAAGAGGCCGAATGACACGGAGGCCGCTGGCCCGGGCCGGGGGCAGCTGCCTCCTCCAGGTGCTCCAGTCCTCCTCACCCCACCCCCAGGTCCTGGGGCTCACGTTTCCAGGCTTTGTTCTCCCCTTTCCTCCTCGTCTGGTTTGGGCTCAGGCATCAGCATGGTGCTCAGTCCAGGCCCCCCTGTTCTTCGTTCCCACTTAGGGTGTGGCCAACCCCACGCACAAAACACACATCCCAGATCCCAGATGCAAAGTATAGGTCTTTCACACCCCAAACTAGAACCTGTGTCTGACACAGGACTTCTGTGATTTGTTCGCCCTGGGGACAGGACACCAAGTGGCCGTCTACTGAGCACCTATAGTATGTGCCTGACACTGCTGGGCGGTAGCGATTTCACACACCTAGTCCCAGTGGACCCTGAAGAGGCGGCTCCATCTTCCACTCCTAATGAGCAGGGCCTGGGGGCAAGGCCCCCAGTTCCAGAGACAGGAGTAGGCAGGCAGGCCTACAGGACTCCAAGTGCTGTGTTCCTCCCACCCCCAGAGGCCCATGCTGTGCACATGTGCGCTGGTGCACTTAATGTGGAGGTGGAGCCCAGCTCCCTCCAAGGTTTGCACAGCGAAGGGCCTAAAGCCTAGGCAACCGCCAGGGGCTCTGCTGTCTGTGTCGTTTGATCACTGTGCGAAGAGGGGTTGGACCCTCCGTTTCCTAATTTGGCCTCCTTAAACTTGGACCTTTTCTCTATTGGGGTAAAGGCCTTTGGCGCTGGCTAGTTCTGTGGCTGTGGTCCTGGACCCCTTGGCAGAAATGGACACAAGGAACAGAGGCAAATATCCCGCTTATGTCTGTGGTCAGCCTGGCAGCCCAAAAGGAAGCAGAAACCAGTTTGGAAGAGGTGTGGGGACCTCCAGGGCCCCAAAGAGAGATGCCCCTTAAAAGGAACTCGCTGCCCTTCACACATGCCCTTAATTAGGAATTTCTAATAGGGTAAGAAAGAGGAAATAAATTATCTAGCAGAGGGGGTTAAACCTAGAACAAGAAGACAGACTTCCCTCACCTCCCTTTTCTTCTTTCCCCCTTTTTTTTTTTTTTTTGGTTTCTGTTTGTTTGTTTGTTTGTTAAACAAATGCTTCAGGGTCCAGAAGAAAGGAAGGGAGGGAAGCAGTTAAAACTTCCACTTGGAAAAGGTGTTGATAGCGTAAAGGTGAACTGAATCTATAAAAAAACAAAAGAGCTGGACTTGGTTGTCCTCCTTAAATTTTATGACAAAGTTTAGGTAGTAATTTATTAAGTAAATAACAAGCCAAAGCTACATGGCCACCATTTAATGAGCACATACTATGTGCTAAGGCATTGATATATTTTAATTACTCCTCCGTGTTACATAACAGTGAAGAACATTTGCCCCAGAGAAAACAGGCCTTATTCTGAATTCTGGCTCCACCACGTAGTAAATTTGTGACCTTGGACAAGTACATAACCTTTCTACCTTGGGTTCACTCGCCTGTGTATTATAATAAGATGGTGATAGTACTGCTGCCTCAGGGGTTGTGTGAGGACTAAATGGGATAGCATGCAGAAGCTCTTGGCACCCAGTTTGCTATAAGGTAAACCCTCAGTAAATGCTGGCTATTATTATTACATGGGACAGCAGGTATTATCTCTGTCTTACAAATGGGAAAACTGGAGCTCGGAAAGATGACAGCAGTTGGTCAGCTCCCAGGGTAGTTTCAGAACAGTTCAAGGCCAAGCCTATCCTCACCCTGGCAAGGAGAGTCTAGGGGGATTGGCCACCTCTGTAGAGGTTGAGAGTCAGGAATGAGACCGAGTGCCCCAACATGGAGGAAAGGATCATGGAAGTGACCCCAGCAGGCAGGTCCCACCCCTTGAAGCTGTATTCTTCATGGACCAGTTTGAAAGGAACTAGGGAAAGACCCTGTGGGAGAGAGGATGAGAAGCCCCAGGGGCCCTGTCACCTGGTCCCGGCAGCCTTTTGGACAGAGCCAAGAATGGACTGTGGCCGCGGGGAGGCTTAACCTCAGCCACCCCTTCTGGAAGACTGGAATCTCCATGAGAAAGAGGGATTCAATAACTCAGTGTGGGGCCAGCCCTAAGAGAGGCCTTAAGCCACAGGCTCCGCCCCTCAGAGCCTCCTGACGGGAGTGGCAGCCCTGAGATCTGACAGCCCTCCCCGCTGTCAGGCCACTTACCTTGCAACACGGTCCGATTAAAACCTTTCAGAGTGCTGACCAGCTGCCGTGCCTTCATCATGAACTTCACCGTCTGAGCATAGAGCAGGGCCGAGTCGTGAAGACAGGCAGAGTGAGGGCTCACCTTCAAGGAGGGAAGCAGATGCAGGGTTGAAAAAGGCCCACAGCCTCCTGAGTCACAGCCCGTGGCTCAGCTGGGAGGAATTTCTCTCCATCCTCGCGGTGCTGCAACACGTGCTCTCCACCCTCTCCCCCACGAGGGAGGACCCTCTGTGTGCCCGGGCCTGGGCTCTTCAACCTGGATAGCACAATCTTCACCTTTCCTCCATAGGCCGGTTTCTTCCATTGGATCACGTGATCCTTCGAGTCAGAGACAGCTCTCTAGGCCATAGGTGGGTGGGGGTATGGTTTAATTGAAAGTGGGCGGATTTGGAGCCAGGCTGGCCTTTCTACTTACTTGCTGTGAGATTTAGGGAAAGTTCCATAACCTGTCTGTACCTCAGCTCTCTTATTTATAAAGGGGGATGAAGTCACTGTCCTGGTGAGTATAAGGACAGTTAAATGAGGCAGGATAGGTATACTACCTATTGCACTACCTGGCACATAGTAGGTCTTCAATACATGTTCTCATCTGTTCATTTAGCCATCAAACATACAAGTGTCCACTAAGTGCCAGGCGCTGTTGTCCCCAGAGGACCTGGTACAGACACTTGGTAGACAACTCCCCAGATATTCACTGACCAGTCATCTTTCCTTGTGTGCTGGGATCCGCATCTGGCTGCCCTGTCCCTAATGGAACCCCTCTGGTCAGTGGCCTGTCACTGGAAATAGCTTCAGCTCTGGCCCACAGCCTCTGTGTGAGAAATTGCTATGTGGATATCACACATTTGCGCCATCATCCCCGACACACTGGGGCTACCGCTGGCTGATCCTCTCTCTCTCCTGTCTTCTCCCTGTTCCAGACCATCTGCTCGCCTCGACCTGTCCTAGCTCCACATTTCTTCTGCTGCATTCTGGTTCTCAGTCCTGGCCTCCTACTGGGAAAGGAAGGTCTGAGGACCACTGGTTTCTGTTCTACTACCTCCATGGTCTGTGTTCTTAGATACTCAAAACCACAGGCTGGAGGCAGAGGTCATTACCAGTCCCGTTTTTCAGGTGAAGAGACTGAGGAGTCGGGAGGTTAAGCAATTCACTGAGAGATCCCACGGCAGTAAATGGCAGAACTAGGATGGGAGCCCAGGTATCTGACTCCAAAGGCCACCTGGCCTCTCACCTAGTAACCTCTGTCCTCCGTGGTCCTGCAATGCAGATTTCACAAGACAAACCAGTGTTTATTCTCAGCTGTGTGCACATGTGTGTGTGTGTGTTCGGGGGGGTGGTAAAAGAAGAGGGGAAATAAGAGGGAGAATAGTAAAGCTGAACACGAGTGTCCTCAAAGAAGCGTGAGCAGGGACCTGTGCGGCGGGACCCTGTCTCAGACCTGCTCCTCTGCGGACACAGAGCTGTGGGAGGGCGGCCCCCTCAGCCTTCAGTGGACTTCTTGTCGGAAGCCTTCATCTCCAGGACCTTCTCCGTGGGAGCTGAGGGCGATGAGACGCACAGACTCATAGGTGGTGGGGAAGTGCGTCCCCTTCTGATTTGTTAGCACCTCCCTCCAGAAACTGTCCTGAAATATAATGAAATCAGTGTGGTCATTCCCTAGGAAATACCCTGAGAAATGCATTCAGTCAAGGTCAAGTTTGAATCTCTGCATTCGAATCCTCGAAAACACAAGGAAGGCTGCCTTGCAAGGTACACATTTTACAGCTGGCATCAAAGCAGTGAGAAGGAATCCAAGAAAGAAGGAAGGAAGGAAGGAAGGAAGGAAGGAAGGAAGGAAGGAAGGAAGGAAGGAAGGAAGGTGACAGCAAGCAGATAAGATATAGAAAGCTTATCCTTGAACAATGGGTGATAAAAACTTGAAAAATTTAGGATTGTTGATTCCAGATTGTCTGCTTGTGGCTTAATTTGTTTGTTATTTTCACTATTATCTATATTATTACTATTATGAAAGTAATACCCACTCATTATGTGTATGTGTGTGTGTGTATATATGTGTATGTGTGTATATATATATATACACATGTACAGAGGCATGTACAGAGGTGTATGTGTGTACATTTTATATAAATAGTATCACACTATAATACTGTTCTGCAGCTTAATTTTTTCCACTTGAGCCTATATTGGGGATACTTTATAGAATGGATTTATGCTATCCTTTTTAAGAGCCACGTGAATTCAATTGCATGTTTTTTTTTGAAAAGATAAACAAAATTCATAAACCTTTAATCTGACCTATCAAGAAAACATAAGAGACCCAAGTAAATAAAATCAGTAATGAAAGAAAAGTGATAACTGACACCACAGAAACACAAAAGATTGTAAGAAAAGAATATGAAAATTATATGTCAACAAATTGAACAATCTGGAAGAAATGGATAAGTTCCTAGAAATATACAGTCTTCCAAGACTGAATCAGGAAGAAACGGAAAACCTGAACAGACCCATTACTACCAATGAAATGGAAGCAGTCATCAAAAAACTCGCAACAAACAAAAGTGCTGGACTGGACAACTTCACGGGTAAATTTTACCAAACATTTAATGGAATTGAAACCTGCCCTTCTCAAGCTATTCCAAACGTTTTAATAGGAGGAAAGGCTCCCACGCTCACTTTGTGAGGCCACTATTATCCTGATTCAAAAGCCAGACAAAAGACATTGGCAACAAAAGAAAATTATAGGCCAATAACTTGGATAAACCTAGATATGAAAATCCTCAACAAAATATTAGCGAACCAAATTCAGAAATACATTAAAATGATCACATGCCATCTTTAAGTGAGATTTATTCCCGAGATGCAAAGGTGGTTCAGTATTTGCAAATCAGTTAATGTGATCTATCGCACGAAGGTGAAAAATCACATGATCATATTAATAAATGCAGAAAAAAACACTTGCCAAAATTCATCACCAATTTATGATAAAAACTCTCAGCAAAGCAGTAATAGAGGGAACATACCTCAACATAACAGAGGCCGTATATGACAGACGCACTGCCAGCATCATACTCAATGGGCAAAAACTCTTAAGTGTTTCTCTTAAGAGTGGGAACAAGACAGAGATGTCTACTTTCACCACTCTTATTCAGCGTAGTGCTGAACCACACTGAGGCCGAACCCTACCCACAGCTACCCACAGCTATCAGACAGGAGAAAGTGCCCACAATGAGACATCACCTCACTAATGTCAGAATGGCTGCCATCACTAAATGCCAAAGGGCAAGGGCTGGTGAGGACGTGGAGAAAAGGGAACCTTCACGCACTGTTGGTGGGAATGCAAATTGATATAACCACTCTGGAAAACAGTGTGGAGGTTTCTCAAAAAATTAAACATAGAACTACCTTATGACTCAGAAATTCCACTTCTAGATATCTATCTGAAGAAATCTAAAACACTAATTTGAAAAGATATATGCACCCCTATGTCCATTGCAGCATTATTTACAATAGTCAAGACATGAAAGCAACCCAAGGGCCCATTGATAGAGGATGGATAAAAAAGCTATGGTACCTATATACAATAGACTACTACTCAGCCATAAAAAAGAGTGAAATCTTACTATTGGGGAGAACATGGATGGACCTAGAGGGTATTTTGCTAAGTGAAATAAGTCATATAAAGATAGATAAATACCATATGATTTCACTTCCACATGGAGTCTACAGGAACAAAATAAACTAACAAACGAAACAATAAAGAGACTCGTAGTTACAGAAAACAGACTGATGGTTGTCAGAGGGGAGGAGTGTTGGAGGGCTGGGTGAGAAGAGTGAAGGGACTAAGTACAAATTGGTGGTTACAAAACAGTCACAGGGATGTAAAGTACAGCACAGAGAGCATAGCCAATAGTGGTGTAATAACTATGTGTGGTGTGGGGCCAGGTGGGTACTAGAACTACCAGGGGCATCGCTTCATGAATCATATAATTGTCTACCCTTTATGCTGTTCGCTTGAACTAATATAAAATATTATTAAATGTCAACTGTAATTGAAAGATAAAATTAAAAAGGTAAAAGAAATCTGGAACATTGTTATACACCTTTTACTCCCTCTTGCCTCATTTCAGCTTCTTAGAAACATTGAAAAGAAGCTCATTTTAGAAAGAAAACTGCTGGAAAACTTACACAGTGTTTCCACATCTAAATGCAAGTGGCTTTTCCCAGGAGCCTGCTAGTGTAAAGCAGTGTTTAAACGTACAGACTCTGAGAGCAGTCCTCCTGGGGTTTGAATACCAGCTCTCCCTCCCACGAGTCATGCGACCTTGGGCAGGTTATTTTCTCTCTCAGAGCCCCAGTTTCCTCATCTGCAACACAGGGAAAATAAAAAAATCTCCCACAGGGTGGTATGAGCTGACGTGAATTTTAGCGTATCAAGCGTTCACGGTAGGGCCTGGCACCCAGTACCTAATCCATCAGCCAGAGCTACTGGGGTGCAGGCTCTGCCCCAGAGTCCAAAAGACGTGGTTTGGAAGAGCAGCTATGCCCTCAGGAGCCCTGAGATCTGGGAGAAGTTACCTTGTGCATCTAAGCCTCAATTTTTCTATCTATACATTGGACTACTGATAAGATCTACCTTATGAGGCTCATGGGAATATTAAGTGAAGCAGCGCAGATAAAATGTGTAACTCATTCCTCAGGGTAGGCACGTGGTACATTTGACCATTCCGATCATGACCAAAAGAACCCCATCACCCAAGAGTGGCCTCATCGGACCAGCACGTTGGTCTCCCCAGGCCTCTGTTAGGACTCCAGCAGAGAAACCGGGAGGAAGTGCCACATGTGTCTGAGTGTCCTTTGGGGAGGGCTCAGGTACATGATAAGAGTAACAGTCCCCCCTCACTGGCATTTGCTGACAGACTACCAAGAGTCAGCATCCGGGTTCAAGGCCTAGCCCAAACGCTCACTCACTGGGCAAAAGGACTCTGGGCACGTTCTCCCAGCTCAGCCCCAGTCTCCCAGCTTTAAGAGGAACACACTTAGGGCCGTGGCGAGTCTTCAGTGAGCCACTTCATCTGGTACTTAGCAACGGCTCCACACTTCTTAGCTCCTGCTGCAGGAGCCACGTGGGGGTCACCGACACTCACCTGCCACTGCTGCAGCACCATGAAAACGAACCCTCCAGCATAGAGTCCCAGGTTCTCCGCAGCCAGCAGAATGACGTTCGAATCCTCTGAGCTGCAGATTAGGATGATTACTATACAATAAGAAAAAAAAAAAACAGTCAAGCACACATGATCACGTGCACACAGGCACGTACTCCTTAAAGTCCAGCCTGAAACTGCTCCAAATGAGACATGGACTTTTTCTTTCCCAGAGGCTGCTTTAGGAAAGGAGAATGCCGAAACTATCCCCAGACAGTAAGTACCACCAGCAGTGTACCGACTGGCAGATTTGCTCTGCAGAACTCAAGTTCTCACTGCAGCTGTCTCCCCAGACCCAGCCAGAAAAGGTTAAGACCACCTCTGTGTTCTGGTTTCTCTGTTTCATTGGCTCAGAACAACAGATCTGGCTTGCTCATCATCAGCCACACAGTTAGGAGGAGTTAAAGGAGGACCTAGAGCCAGGAGCATGAAGACTTTTTGAGTTGAGATGGGGAGGGGGGGCGGGGAAGGCGTGGGCCACGGTGCTTTTCTTCCCTTCGAATGTGTCAGTGTGCATTGTGAGGACACGCAAGTGAAATAGTGACGTTCTTTAAATGAGGTAAGTGATAATCTATTTATCTGAGTTCTGTCCACGTGCCAAGCCCTGTGCTGATTAAGCACAGGATACAGCGATGAGCAAGACAGAGGGCACCTGCTCTCGAGGAACTGAGACAGACAGGCACTATAACCAGTGAATTATGGGGTGCAATGGGGTTGCAGGTTACGCTCCAGGCCAAGGATCAGAGAGTCTCAAAGTGCCAAGGCCAGAAAGGCTTAGTTTATTGAACAACGGAAATGAGTCAGTTACTAATTCAGGCTAGAAAACAGAGCCTTATAAGTACTACAACAAAACAAACTGCTGTCCTACGTTGGCCAATTACTATGTCCAGACACGGTACTTAAGACTTTACAGGCAGGGCCTCATGCAATCCCCATGTTTCTGTGAGGTAGGCAGATGACTACCTTCATTTTCCAGATGAGCTATCTGAGGCACAGAGAGGTCAAGGTATTTGTCCAGGAGTACCCAGCTAACAAGCATTAGAGGCCGGTTTGACACCTAGGCTATGTGTCTCCAGAGCCCATGCCCTGAATGACAGCCCAGGCCCAGGACTCAGCGCACCTGGAAGATGCTTTCAGAGTGTATTCAATAAATCATAACACTATGACCTATGGGATCTTACTTTAGATTAAAAATATATGTTGATGGTGGTGGTGATGTCAACCAAAAAGAAAAACTTTTTATGTATCACTAATTTTTGCATCCTCTGAGCTGCCAATTTCCATCTGCTTTATACATCCATAGCAAAATGAAGAATTCCCATCTGCTTTTCCTGTTTGTCTCTCTTAAACAAAAGCAACAGAAGACCCTTTTCCACTTACTCCTGGCAGTTGCTGACAGGGTCCTAAGATTCTCTCACAGGAGGGCTGGATCGTGGTTGGTGTATTTGGCCTGGGCGGTGGTGGTGAAACGGGATTTGAGTTCATTCTCTACAATCCTCCGTAGCTCATCCACTCTATCCCAGGAGGAAGTCCCAGAGGGACCCCCAAACATCCCAGTGTGTTTCCAGCCCAGGTACTGGAGACTTTTCTGGAGCACATCACCAATCTCACGCGTGGGTGGCACAAGTCTCACATAGGTGTCATATAAGAAGTCGTTCTCCAGTTTCTCTGCGTGTCCAACAAAGTCAAAGATGGGGATGTTCCACGCAGAGGCCAGCAAACCAATAACCCTGAAAGTAACCAAAAGGATGTCTTTTCATAATTGAGTTTATGCTACACTCAAACCCCATGGCGAGGAATCTGCATGAATTTTGAATTCAGTGACTCAGTGGGTCATGCTGGAGCCTGTCTTCTGGAATATTGATGAGAACGTCTTGTATCCAACATGAGGATGCGAGACCTCAGGACAAGAGTAATAACAGTGAGCATTCATGGAGAGCTTGCTGTGTGCCCAGCACTTTGCTAACAGCTTATACATATTATCTCAATTTTTGCAACGTTTCTATGAGGTAGGCGTTGTCATCACCCCATTTGGTAGATGAAAACTCGGGGATGCAGAGGTGTAAGGTACAAAGCTGGCAGATAGTGGAGCGGGACTGGAATACGGGCAACATGAATCCGGAGCCCACACTCAGAGCTACCATTCACTCTCTTGGTGTATCTTTCTTAATGTGTTCCTTATTCATTTCTCATTCATTTTTCATTATCAGCCTACTATTTATAAGAAACTTTGGAGACCCTGCTCTTAAAGGGGTTTATGACCTATTACAGGAGCTAAGACATACAAAAATAGCTATACAGTTAAATATACCCTTCACTATGTATAGACAATAGATTCATAGGAATTTAGAAAAGTAAGACATCACTTCTAGCCCTGGCTGGTATAGCTCAGTGGATTGCGCACGGGCTATGAACCAAAGTGTCGCAGGTTCGATTCCCAGTCAGAGTACATGCCTGGGTTGCAGGCCATGACCCCCAGCAACTGCACATTGATGTTTCTCTCTCTCTCTCTATCTCCCTTCCTTCCCTCTCTAAAAATAAATAAATAAAATCTTTAAAAAAAAGAAATCACTTCTGATTTGGGAATTAGAGATACAGAAATGAGGATGGGAGGGTGAAGAAAAGCTCTTTGGCATTTGAGCTTGACATTGAAGAATGGGTAGGCTGTGGCCAGCAGAAGATGTGTCACATGAGGAATTCCAGGGGAGAGCAAGATTCAAATTCAAACAGGAACTGAACTCTACAGCCCCCACTAGTGGTCGCTGTGCAGTGAGTGAGAACTTGGGATGCTCCTTTCCGTTTCGGCTTTGCATCAATAGGCTTAGCCTGTTTTAGACTAAGCCTGAGATACCCAAGGACTTCTACGAGTCTAATCCCATTAACTAAGCAGATACAAGTCCTTGCTTTCTCTCATTTTCTTGCCCCAGCTTATTACCGTCTGCCGTACTTCCTTCTTTCCCACTTCCTTTTACCATCACCGAATCACTTATTATACACCAAAGGGAAACCTACACAAATGATATTTTTCTATTGAGTACCAAGCATTGATTTTCTTCTCAATTTTCCTGTCCCACGTAGCTGACAACATTAGAATGAATAATGAGTCTATCTGCAACAGCACCACGTCCAAATGATCAATAAGTTTGTTAATACACAACCACCGGCTAGGGAGGGAACTTACAATTATTGATTTGAAAGGCTTTCTTTTAAGAGAATATTAACTGTTCTAATTACATCTCCAAAAAAAAAAAAAAAAAGGAACCCAAGACCCACACAACAACTATTCTAACAATGCGCCCTTGTGAAAGGATTATTCAAATCTGTGCCAACACCTTTAAGACCGCCCCTTCCAATGGAAACTCGGCCAGAGTTTGTAGAAGACTGTCTACCTCTGCTGCTTCTGGGCATGCTCGTCCAAACACGGCAGAAATCTGTTCTCTCTGGACCTGGCTGGTGAAAATAGCAAGAGCCTCCTCGGCGCCGCAGGTTGCGTTGGTGTAAGTGAACTCCCAGCTGAAGTTTCCGAGGTCCGCTGACTGTGAGTTGATCTCGTCCATGGCAATCTGGAGACCCACACCCAGCCTTTGCACACTGAGTGGATGGGAGATATTCCCAGGAGCCTGGAAGCCCACAGTGAGTTCAGCAGCCTCGAGCCAAGTCACCAGCACACTGGCAAAGAGTGTTAGAACCAGTATTGGGTGGGCATCATGGCATCTGACCCCCAAACAGTGATGGAAGTGGGGCCTCAGCACCTGTGCTGCGAGCCGTGGATGGTGTCTAACATCTGGCACACTGCAGAACTCAGAGGGGCTCAGCCTCCTGACCACTCCTGCCGGGAGCTTAGATGACAGTGCAGAGTCCCCCGAGGACCACAGCTTGGTTTCTATTCAGTGCCGTTAATTAGCTGGAGCCTTTTCTTTTCAGAATCTGCCCTAACACATCTAGAAGCAGCAGTCTTGCAGAAAGAGGCTAGGGCAGGGAGTCAGCAAGGCCCTGCTAATTAACCCAGGGATACCATTGACAAACTTTATGGTCCTGGACAAAGCACGTAACCCCACTCACCCCCAGCCCCAGGATCCCTCTCTGCTAATTAAATAAGAATCTGGAACCACTCAGGTGGAGGCAGGTGGCCTGGGCTGGAATTCTGACTCCACCACGTGTTAGTTGTGTGACCTAGGACGTGCTCCTTCCTCTCTCTATGCCATCATCTCCTGATAGATACATGGGGGTTAAACTGTAACGGGATCTCCCCCCAAGTAGTATGGTGAGGGTTAAACAAGGTTGTACAAGTCCAGTCCTCAGCACACTGCCTGCACAAAGGGAGCCGCTTCTCCGTGCTAGGAAACGGTGATGATAATGATCAATGATGTTGATTTCATACTCATAATGATCGCCTGCTGAACTAATCTTATAATTTTTCTAGAATAAGTGTGTGAATGACTGTGAGAGTGTTCACTCACAAATAGCACAGTCTCTGTCCCTCACCCTGGACGAAGACACTGGGGAGAGGCTTCTGATGAATGAACACTAACTCCCAAAGCTTGATCTTGGAACCACCTACATCAGTCTCTCCCAGCAAGTAAAAGCACAGATTCCAGGGCCCCACTCCAGACCCTCAGAAGCAATCTTCAGTTTGTTCTGAGAATCTGCAGTTAACAGACTCATATGTGCCTGAGTACGTGACCATCTGAGAAGCTCTGACACAGTCTGAAGCGAGAGGAGGAAAACAATTGCTGTAAGTACCCTCTACTTACCTTCCTTCGGCAGCAAGCTCCCCAACTGGGATCCCTGAGCCCTCGTTCTGGCCCATCTCAAGGGACCATTTCAAACCCTGTGCATTGGAGGAGTTGCTTTTCTCCAAAACAAATTCAGCATAACTTCTTCTTCGCTGAGCTTCAGATTCTCTATCTCTTCTACTAGGACAGCTTGGCATCAGTTTGCAACGTCATCTGAGCCTAAAGATATCCTCGATCTAATCACAGACAGAATTCCACAGATTTTTTTGTTTGTGTTCACATGCTTGCCAGACGCATGTGGCCTTGGGCAAGTTAGTTCAAACCTGTGCCTTAGTTTTCTCAACTTCGGAATGAGTTTAACAATGTTCTTCTCAGAAGGGTGTTGTAAAGATATTATGAAATTATATAGTTACCTAGCACAGTGCCTCACAGTTAGAAGGAATCCAGCAAAGGGGCACTCCCCCAAATGGGTGTGTCATCACCTAAGTCATGACCTCAAAACCAGGATTCTGGGAACAATGTTTTATTATACATTCTGTGTGCCCTCTCCCCTACCCATAGGTAAACATCTTAAAATTTGAACTCCCACTCTGGATAACTGAGATTCTTTGTGTTTACAGACTGACTTTTCTCTGAGAAATCTTTGAGGTCACACAGGTGACCATGTGTGCCCCTCTTTGGATCCTCAGATTGCAGCCTTTATATATCCAAATTAACATTAATCATGATAAGCATAAGTTTTGTTTTGTTTTGTTTTGTTTTTGTATTCCTAAATGCTTACATGTGAGCATGAGCAAAACCATGAGAAAATACGGATGAAGTTTCGGCCCTGGAGAATTTAACAAGCAGACGTACACTGCTGGTAGATGTCCATAGTCATTTTTCAGGGTGTATCCAGAAACCTAAGAATATATGGATCTTTGACTCAGGAATTCCAGTTTTGGAGACTTATCCTAAAGAAATAAGATCATATGATAAGATTTTACTACACTGCTTTTTTTTAAACTTATTTTAGCACTTCCTTTTTTTTTTAAAAGATGTAATTTACTTATTTTTAGATAGAGGGGGAGGGAGAGAGAAAGACGGGGAGAGAAATATCAATGTGTGGTTGCCTCTTGAATGCCCCCTACTGGAGACCTGGCCTGCAACCCAGGCATGTGCCCTGACTGGGAATCGAACCAGCGACCCTTTGGTTCTCAGGCTGGCACTCAATCCACTGAGCCACACCAGCCAGGGCTACGCTGCTTTTTTTAAGAGTTAAAAATTAGACACAAGTTTTATGCCTAACAGCAGGGGCCTGGATGAATAACACATAGTTCATCTCTATGTCTAAGGACCAGCCAGTCATTGAAAATGAGTGCATTTCTATACTGAGAAGGATTGTCCCAATGAATTAACGGAGGAAGCACACTATAAAACAACATGTATGATATCCTATTTTTATTGTTTTTTCAAAGCACACAGTTTACATAGCAAAGATTACATCTGCCTAAACTCTAAAAGCGGCATTTTTTGAATAATGGTAATCATGAGTACTTTTCTTCTCTTTGGTCATCTTAATTTTCATATTGTTTTTGTGTTAATGTCTGCAAGAAGAAAGAAAAGTGCAAGTTTTTATCACAAATAAACCCCACAGGCTTGCACGTGTGGAGTGAAAGCAAGGGGTCGAGCGCACGCTGTCTGGATTCTCAGGACGGGAGCGCCTGTCTCACCCTGGCCCAGGCCCTCACACTTCGAGGCCCGGGGCTCTCCTCTGTGGGCTCTAACTATTCTCCGTGGAGTCCAGCCCCCTCCAGTTTACCATCACCCTCAGAAAAGGCGAGAGCTAGAGATGCCATGGTCCAGATAATGGGAATCACCTGGAAACCATTGCCGTAGTAACAGGCCTACCCACTTTGTGCCGAGTGCTTTATTGGCTGGAGTGGAAACAGCCTGAAGTTAAAACCAACTCAGTGGGATTTTAGGGACTGAGGCTGCTGGAGAGAACATGATGTCCTCCACTTTGCTTCCAGTTCTCCCTCCTTCTAGGAGACTCTTACGCCTACAAGTTTCCAGTGGCATGGTGGTTGCGGGGAGAGGCAGTGCTGTTTCATCCAACGATGCTGTAGCACAAAAGTACTTCCCGCAGAGGTGCAGAGGTTGGTTCCCTGTGTCCGTGGGGGCGGTGCTTTCATTCTTAGCTACTTTGCGCTATCTCCACTTCCTGAAGAGACAATTGCAGAGGGAGGGTTCTTTGTGCCTGATTTACAGTTTCCTCGATGCTGACCAGCCTGGCCATAAATCAGACACAGGGCCAGCTAATCCAAGGTCAAGTAAGATGGGCTGTATCCAGGGTGCTGGGGTTTTCAGAAAACCTCTAGCACTTTTCCAGCTGCCCGTCCTGTCCTCCTCTCCTGCTTTCCTCTCGCATCCCTTCCATTTGTAAATCAGTGGGCTCACCACGTTTAGAGAAAAAGTGAGGGTTTAGAATGTGTGGGTTCACACTCATCCAAAGGTAAGAGGCAGGAAAAGGTACCTGGCCCACCTGGAAGAGTGAGATGAACCTGTAATGTCCTGGGGAAAGACAAGGGAGAGGCAACCCGCATTCTCCTGCGTCTCATGGTGTCTCCTTTAAAAAGGCATCAGCCTCAGGCTTTCCCGAGTGAATAAGGCTGTCATTGAGCCTCTTCGTCCTTCCCTGTGATATGGGGAAACGGCAGGGCCAGAGGCCTCTGACATTACCAGCTTCTCACCCTAAAATCCTAGCACTCTGGCGGCTTCATAACTAACCAAGTACCCCACGCTCAGTGGTGGTGGCAAGTTCCTTTCCAGAGCTTGCGTACCGGTTCCTCAAGGGAGCATTCCTGAAGATCTAGCACACCTTGTACGGACCATCCCAGAAACAGGAGCAAGTAAAACGTGGCTATTTCCTGTCAGGGTGTGAACTTCAAACTTCCCTATTGTGTTCTCGTCTTTTGCAAATAGCTAAGATAACTTCACTATGAAGCTCCTAGTGAGTAAATGTTTGAGAAGCCATAGAAAAGTGGAGCAAAGGTCGAACCTGTATAAAGCAGGAGATCATATTTCTCAGGCCTGTAACAGGGCAACTTCCTTGGATCCCAGAGCCACCCTTTCAGGTAACCATGTGCGCACTACTCCTAGAAGGCCAGGGCTGGGCTGGGGACGGCGCACTGACCTTGGCTGGCTGATGAAGACTCTCTGGTCCTGTTTCTGAGTGGGTTTGTGTGACAGAAGAGATCCTCCTTCCTGGGGACTCCACCTGTCTCTTATATGCTTCTGCTACCTGGTATTTGTCCCTTGCTGCTGAAAGAGACTCTTCCCCTGGCCTGTGATGTTCGTTCTTTCTCTTTCTCTCACCTCTTTCCACCAGGAATATGTCTTTGACACCTGAGCAGTTGCTTTGGCCAGTCTGGGGCTTCTAGTCAATATTTTCCAGTTTCCTTCTGGCTACAAAAATAACCTGAAGCTCAGCAGGTTGGTTTGCTCCAAATGCCAGGTTTCGGATCTGAATATTTATTTTGTGGTCTTTGATCCTCCCTCCCAGATCAAGACCCCACCTTCCAATAAAGCATTAGCCAGAAGAGCAAAACCTTGGCGAAAGCAGAAAGCCGAAAGCACTTGGGGAGGTGGGGCGACTGCCTGTTCCTGCTACTCGGTAAGCAAAGATACGAAATGACTGGCAGTGATGTAATTACTTCCGAAGACACTTTTCAGAAAATTTTAAGTTTTCCAAAAGCATCTTATTGTCACAAGTGTCTATAAAGAATAAAGAATATGTCCTTGCCTTGATACATCTTTCTCTGCTGGTTACATACTTTTAACCCACGAGAATGATAGGCTTCTCTGTCTGAGCCCGTCAGGAACCCATGTGGCACTAGGCTAGGGGTCTGGCTGGCTTCTCTATAGGGAGGCAGGATGTCCTTTCTGACTCATCCAGCCTCCTGGGCTTTTTATCTGGAGAGACCAGAACCCTCCCATTTCCTGTCATTTCTACTCCGCTCATGTTAAAGCTTCCCAAACAGCTCCCTCGCCAGGCACTCGGACTTGCTCTCCAAGCCGTGAGCCCAGGGAACCAAAACAAGGCTGCAACACAGAGGACAATGTCCTCAAAGGCGTGCTGAGAGGGAGGGGTTGGCAGGCAGCCCCAAGTGTCAGTGCTCCTTCAGGAGGTTTCTCCCATACCGTCCTGCAGGAAGCAGCGTGGTAGAGTGGTTGCGAGTGGAGGTTTGAAATGAGACTTGAGCTGGCTTGGACAAATTACATACTGTCTGAACCTCAGTTTTCTCATTTGTAATGACTCCAGTGAGCTCAAGCAAGGATTAGATGAAGTTATAGAGGTAGAGCACACGAAATGATGCCTGGCGTTGAACTTGCTCGTTCTTTGAGCAAGTTCGGTGAGCAGTGAAAGAGTGGTAGCAGTTGTATGATGAGGGGACTATTGCCTCAGTCAGGATCACACGCCCCATTGTGGATGGATGCTATGCAAATCCCACTACAGACCCCAGAGAAATAGGTTAAAGACAGGGCTGTCCTCAAGTCATAACATGCCCGCTGCTGCCACCGGGTAACACCACCTTTTACTTATATTGTACAGGCATTAAGACCAAGAAACTTTGGTCTAAATCAGTGCTGTCCAAGCAAAATAGATTGTGAGCCACACTACTCAGAAATTTCCAGCAGACACATTTAAAAAAGGAAAAGGAACAGGTAAGATTACTTATCTACTATATCCTACATTATCATTTCAACATGTAATCGATGTCTTTTAAATTGAGATTTTATGTAATTGTCTTCATCCTCAGTCTCCAAAATGGGGTGTGTGTTTTACACTTACATGTATCTCGATGTAGCCTGGCCTCACTTCGACTCCTCAGTAGCCACTCGAGGGTAGTGGATACAGTCCTGGGGGGTGCGGGTCTGCATCACCACTCTGAGCTTCCCTTCTAACGTGCTGCGAGACGGTGATGTTTCCTTGGGATTGTTGAAGGTTCTGAGAATTTAGAGCTGACTTCTGATTCTCCGATGCTCTTGGGACATTCTTGCTGGTAAAGGAGTAGGTTGCCCATGTTGCTGTGTCCCAACCTTGTTGACATCACGACCTGAGAACACTAGTACGTACATGGCACCCTGAGACCCCCAGATGAAGCTATCCATGAGCACACCTGTCCACTCTGGAGGCTGAGGGGTCCGTATCTCTTAGCCCATCGGTGTGCCATGGCTTGTCAGTTGGGAAGCACAGACAGATCTAAGTCTTCAAGGCAGTTTGCTCTGTGTGGGCTGAGGGAGGGGAAATGTATGTGGGGCTGGGGAAGGTTTTATTGCAATCTGTGAAAACACCATTCTCGTCAAGCAAGTGCTCGTGCTTGAGTAATACTTCCTTTCCACAAAGAATGAGCACGTGAGCTGAAGAGCTGGGGTGCTCAAGCTGTTGCTGTCCGTAACCCGAGTTGAGCAAAATGGGCTGCTACAGGCACTGAGTTCTGGGCCCAGCTTCTCCCGTGCACTGTGAACCCCGATGGTGCAGGACTGAGAGCAGAGTCCAGCACAGAGCTGTGGGTACTCACAGGACAGCAGGCAACTAGGCAGGAAGAGCTGGGGGGTGGGGTGCAAGCTGAATGGGTGGTGCATTGCCCCCACTACCAGTTGAATGAAGCAAGGCTCTGTGTGGGAAGTTCAGTGGCAGGAAGGACATCCAAGCAGATGAGACTCCCTTCTGAGAAGGGAAAAGGTAGTTCTTGTTCCCCCCTTGGCATCGGGTCTATGTGGCTGACCTTGGGAACTCCTTCCTCTAGGGCAATGGTTCTTAATTTTCTTTGAGAAGCCAGTGAAAGTTCCAGAGAGAAATGCATATATAAATGCGCAAGATTGCGAGGGGGTTATGGAATGGGTCCTGCACCGTCATAGATATGTGCTTGGGCTCTGGACTCAGGACCACCTGGACTCAAAATCTGACTCTGAGACTGTGCCAACTGTCATCCACATACCTGCAGCAAGTTACTGGCCTCTCTTACCTTTCCTCTGTTGCAAAACAATAACAATCATTTCTCCACAGGGGTGCTATGAGGTTAAGTAAGATATTGCAGACAAAGCTCTTGGCTCAGTGCCACCGTAATGTCCACCGTAGTGATCATCTTAAAGACCTTCTGAGAAAGCTGGTATGACAGCCTAAGATTTCTACCTTATACGATGTACTTTGAGTGCCATTAGCCCTTTGAAACATTAGATAACTGAGGAAAGGGTGGGTATAGAATTCTGATGATTGGAATGGTCAATTATGGCATCCTTGTTAAGAGCTGAAAGAACTTCGCCCCTTCCTTTCACATCTCAGTAGAAGAGTACACTTCAACGTCAGCTCTGCCATGTAGGAAGCCAAAGGTCAGTCTATCACAGCTCTCTTTATGCTCACTTTGTACCATCACAACCTCTGTCCTGCTATACAGCTAACTGCAGGGAGGGACGTCTCGCCTCCCTTCTTCCAATCCATCATTACTAAGTGTGCATGCACTGATTGAGCTTCTACCTCTAGGACTCTGCTTCCGTTTCTTCTTGGGCCATGTTGCTCGACTTCTAAAGACTTGGCTTGGCTGTCAAATCAGCCTCATATCCTTATAAATCCTCCCAAGCCCCAGGTGGCAGACACAAGGCCCGTGGGCCAAATCCGGCCCGGCACCTTGTTTCTACCTGGCGGCAGCGCCGAGCTCCTTGCCCCTAGTTAAAGAGCAGTTACGTTTATACAGTCCTACAATTACATTCGGCCCTTTGAAGGTAACCATGAGGCTGATGTGGCCCCCGGTGAGAATGAGTTTGACACCCCTGTCCTAAGTGTTCCCAGGCCCCA